ACGGTGTGATGTTGGATGAAGTTCACTTCGAGGGGTGCAAAAACATGTATTAATGAGAATGCTGGGATTAGTTATGTATCATATAGTAACTGAATAAAGTTAATCAGGATGACTTTGTTAGGAAATTGGTAACTGTCTAGCAGTCGGTTCTCAAGCAGTATCATTATCTATAGTTCTTTATTTGAAGGCTTTCAGAAACAGTGAATTATATATTCATTAACCAACAGTAAGATGTTTTTCCTTATCTGTTTCACAATAAATATACAGTCTTCACCTTTTTAGACTCAAGTGCATCTGAGAAAGGTGGAGCAGTTCATCTATACTGTACTGCCAAACAGGACTAAGGGAATAATAGAGTGGAGTGCTGTCTTGTTTGTGAGTAGTGATTTGCAGGCACAGGTCATGGTAATTGGACAAGCATCAACCTGGCCCTTTTTTTCCCCCTCTACTGTGTCTGTCCTACTTCTTTAATGCTGAAAGGATGAGCTCTGCAGTGGCAGAGAATTGAAGCTACCAACATAGACTAATCGTAAAAAAAAAGAAAAAACCTCTGAATGACTCGTTCTATAACTCCTCTTCTATCTCTCTCTCTCTGCCCGTCATGCAACAGGTGTCCTACATGAAACAGACATTTTAAGAAGCATCTCATTCTGTTTGATTTTCAACAATCTGCTTCTTGTTCATACATCAAAGAGGTTCGGCACACAGTCACAGCTGACAACCAGTTATACAAGCACCTGTGGGATAAACCGGATGTTCTAGGCACAAACATTTATTAACCCTCAAATGTCATATAGGAAAAAAATGAGTGCCAGCTTCGATCTGCCCATCAGTTACATCACACGAGGCGTCAACATTAAGCCCCTTCAAGCCTCTTTGTGCAGCAGGGACAGCTTCAAGTGCTATTCAACATGTGCAGCCATCAGACCGTGTAACACCTTTGGTCAAAATCAACCCAAAATCCTTCATTTAGCACCTTGCTACACTTACTATACAAACTACATACATTCAACCTGCTAGTGAATCTGTACATCTTAGTAATTCAATATTCTCCTCCATACTTTACAGTCTATGTACATGTATGGGAACTGCATGTCAACTATGTTACATGTTTCTGTATCTGTGTAATTAAATATATATTCATGTTAATTATTAGTTCTTAATTATTTGTGAAGTAATTTTCTCTCTCTAATCAAACAAATCCTTTTCCCTTCTCTGCCAGTTTAGACATGAACCACACACAAGCATAACCTGCCACAGCCTCCTCACTCAGCATTTAAAAACAGCACCATCTAGGGTCCAAATACCCTCATAGCTGCAAGGACCCATGGCCCATGAAAGAAAAGCAGGAACAGGAAAGGGCATCACTCATATCAAGTTCTAAATGAGTTATGGACTGTATAACTCAGGCACAATGTCAGAAAAAGCTGCTGATGAAAGATGATGAAGAAACAAATACTTTTCATAGTCACTGTTATGGTTAAAATAGGGTTGAATAGGAGCAAATGTAGCCTGTTGCAGCTTTTACACCAAAATCAAACAATCCATTTCTCCCACTTCAGTGAGAAAACTATATCCTGTGATTCAGCTACATGCAGGGATTTGCACTCTCTTTGAACACGACAACGATGCCTTTTTCTGGGCCCATGAGTGCTTCATCCTGACTTCAAAATACCCGTGTAGTGAGAGGGCTGTCCTGACTCCTGTGGAGAAGAGTGTGGAGGCTGTGAGGTACAGAGGTACAGTGGTGATTCCTCAAAACTTTTTTCTCTCGCTCTCACTTATATGGGCATTTGTTTATGTAACTGTGCCTACTGCTGCCCACGCCTCCCAAATGAGCTCTGGTAAAGCAGAAGGCATTCAACATTAAAATGAGCAGGAGCAACAACTTGGCTGGCAGTTGTTTTGAATTAGATTAGTAGTCCATGGTGTGTATTTTTTAATTACTCCCACATTATCTGCACACGTGCTTACAATTGTAGTTCTGGCCACTGAAGCTCCTTCAGCAGTGGCAGGTTAAATGAACCTGCCTAAGGGCAGTTAAGCAGTAAACAGTAAACCATCAGACTCTTTGTTTGTTGTCTCATTTTCCCAAACTGTCTGTAGACTTTCCACTACACTGACTTCCACTGTTTGTCCGGTTTATCCTAATCAACATCACCTTATCATCACAACTCATTATTTCTCCTGCACGTTCCCTTGTCCCATTACAAATGCAGAGGGAAGGAGGGGAGTTCTTGAACATCAGGTCAAACTTGTCTTCAGCCTCTCACACGCTGTGCGTCTAATAGCTCATTTGATTACACAGTTAGACATAATTTGGTACATCCACGGAGAAGTTCTCTGCTCAAACAGCAGAAGGGAAGAGGAGTGAAATGGGAGCGAAGATGAAGCTAATGTATAAACCTGCCATATACAGGTTACTGGTGGCGTGAACCATGATCTTAGACATGATTTTGTTTTTGCATCAACCAGACAAAATTTCTCAAACCTCATAAGTTGCAGTGAAAAAGATGTGAAGTGAAGCAAATTTTAAAGAAATTCTCAAAGTTTCTCAATTCTAATTTGCTCACTGACAAATCCTGGCCACTCAGAAAGCTGCATGATACATCTGCTTCACAGGGCAGTGTATTTATGAGTAATATCAACTAAAAGCAAGTTAATAACAGGGTAAGAATGAACTGGAAAGGATTGTAATCACTGTATATAGGATATTTTGCGGTGACTTATAGTAGTATAATGGGATTTAATGGATATAATCTACAGTAGGAGAGAGTACAAATGTGTGGGATCTAGCCATGTTGTGTGACAAGTAGCTCTACGTATGTGTGACATGACTTATTGTTTTGCAATGCACAGGGAGTTGTGTTGTATTGACTCATTTTACTCTGAAAGTGAACACACATGTGAGGTAATACTAATGCTGTTCTTTGTTTTGGTAATGCCAGACGTCATAAGCCTCTTTGTTGACTCCACTCCAAACAAAACAATAATTTTGCTGCAGCTGTTCTCATAACTGTTCAAAATGTTATTAAGTGTAACTCACTGAAGGGATTTGGGCTTGGCTCTCTCAGCCATCCATACTGTAAGGAAGGCAATAAGGGGACAGGACGGAGCAGATTATGATATTTAGTCAAAGAGAAGTGCTTCAAATGACTTTTGAAAAGTGTCAGTTTCAATGAATACAACAAGTGCTACACCTAAATCACAAAAGATTTCTAGATCTTTGGTCAGAAAATCATCATAACAATAAAATGTTGTGTATGACACAATACTAAGATTGTGGTTCACAAATCATCATAAAGTTAAAGAAGGTAATACAGGTAGGGCTTCATAAAGGGTTTTTAAAAAAGCTTGTTTTGACACTGGTTTGGCGGATCTTATAACAAGTCTTCTACCAAACAAAAATAACAAAACTTCTACAGCCTTAAATAACTTTTGGAGTAAGACACTCAGTATGTGGGATATTTATTGAATGTTGTAAAAAGATTTGTGGCTCTGTAATAGCATAAATTGTGTGGTGTGTTTAAATTTGGCACATGTGCTGAAAATAGAGCATATTTTCCAGATGATGCAGAAAAATATTAGTCCTGAGGGGTCACCTTAACCACTAAGCTATTAGGTCACGTTAACTCCTGCGTTGGTGCGATTGCATGCTATGAATCTGTGATTTCACATTGCTTTAAATGTACCTGGCAAGCTAATTAAAGGGGGAGGAAATTACTTTTTAATGTTGCTTTGTAAAGTATACAGTAATTTCCCCAACACGACGTAGGATCTAAAAATTCTCATGTCACCACAACACGCCACAGCATGACTCTTCACTCCTACCAGGCTCTGTTTTATTGAGGAAACTGAGGGGCAATATTGAGGAAAGACAATGACTGATGATCACTCGTAATCAACTCTTCTGTTTTACATTTTCTGACTCACGTTGTTTGGGAAGTTACTCGTTTATTTCTAGATTTTTTTTTCTTCCTCTTTTCTCTTCCTCTCCTATTGCTTGGCTAGAAGAGAAACTGAGTGAGCAGCACCACACCAACATGCAGACACCCACGTTAGGTTATCCCTTTCACACTCCGAGAACTACCCAGATCCGCCCACATCCCCGGAGAGATGTGTGTGTGTGAGAGTGTGTGTGTGTGTGAGAGAGAGAGAGGGAGAGAGGAGGAAGCAGGGAGGGATGGAGGGGTGACGCCTATTCCTGTGTGCACAGAGTGTGTTTGTGTATGTGAATGTGTGTGTTTTTGAGAGAAAGACAGAGGGGGGACCGGCGGATAGACAGAGGGAGGGAGGGAGTGCACGCCTGTGTGTTTCCTCTCCTGCATTACTGCACCGTCTGCACTTCACCTTTACTTTTAATTGGACGTGGAGAACCTGACACTATGTCAGTCATGCCTTCTGCACGGTTGAGTATACAAAAACCCCTCATGGCCATTTAATGACCTCGATTGCCTTTTAATTAACCCCTGAAAGCGGAGACAATCCCTTTATGCCCCCCAGTAAACTGGCGAGTGAGCCTGAATCCATTTAATTGTCTTTAAATGTTGTATTGAATGAAACACAAAAAGCAGCACTGTTGCTTATCAATTAACACATGAGTTATCATAATATAATTCCATAATTAATATATCTCCACGTTGCCATAACTAAACCTTTCTGTGCAAAGTAATCTCAGCCGTGTTAACATGATGACTATTCATCTCTTTTATTTCATCCCCGTGCATGCACACCGATTCCGCTGATCCTCTTTCCGGTACCTTTGGCTCTGCGTTGATATCTGCGTAGTTTGGTGTTCATAATCGTTTGTCTCTGTCTCCCTGAACAGATCCCTCCCCTCTCTTCAGATTCCTCCCTCCTCCCTCCTCCGTGTGCGCTGACACAGTCACTCTCACACTTACACACACGCGCGCGCGCACACAAACACTTTCTCCCCCGCACACTCCCCCCTCGTCTTGGTGCTGTCTCATTCACTTCAGTACGCCATCCACGCACTGACTCCAACTTGGAGCAGGGGGGGCGGGGTTGGATATATACCTCCAAGAGCAGGCCACAAGCTACACTGAGACTGGACCCACTTGCAGTGCAAAGACCACAAGCAAGAAGACTCCGAAGCCGGGAGTAGAAGTACCAACATTTATACTGGAGCTTAGAGAGAAAAGACAAGCGAGACCAAAGCGTTTGGTTCTACGGACTGTCTGCTGGAGCTCCGATACAACCAATTTGTCACTCCGCTATACGCCAGTTTTCTCTGGACATAGCAGCTAAACAAAGTTGGTAGTAAACTCTTTGGAGTTTGGTAGAGTCACTATATTTTTCTTTGCTTGTGAGAGTGGACTGCACTGAAACTTGGGATCGACCCGTCTGGGGTCGAGCTTGGACCTGGCGCATCCTTTCAGCGGCTTCAAACACTGCGAAGGTTTTGGCCAGAGCTCAGATCTGAAGACTTCGAGTCGAGTCAGACTTTGAGTACACACTCAGCAGCTGCTACCCCGAGCCCAGCTCCAACGCACCTGGGCGACCGGATAGAGAGCCACTGACAAGACTTCAAAGAAACGTTTTCCAGGTAAGGAAAGACGACGAGCTTTCTATGTCTATGCTTTTACTTTTAAATGTGTGTTTCTGTGAATACGGGTTTGCCGTTTGTATGTTTCATACAGAGCCATGTGCTCATGTACGGACCATAAAAGTTACAATGTGAGCATGAGTGATGTATATGAATGTTGTCCTGCAGCTTCTCAGTTTGTTTCTGCAGATTTGACTGTCTGAACTGTCTGTCGCTGTCCGTGGTGCTGAAACTCTCTCTCTCAAGTCTCAGCCTGCTCCTTCTTTGCTCAACTGTTCGAGCAACATGCGTCTGTTGCATAGCTATGTCAGAAACAGTGATTGTTCCCGTAATGTCTGTTTCGAAAGTTCTAGTACAATATTGCCGCCTATGTAGGCTACTATTAGTAGTATTAGTGCTATGTGATGCCGCTGGATGAGGCGACGTGAACGATCAGCATCACAAAGTTAGATCGTGGCAACAGGTTGCTCGATGTAACTTTCTGGTTTGCTTGTATCTTAAGATTGCACTGACAGATTCTGGAAGAAGTTTTAATATTATGACCTGCACGATGCAAATCCATAAAGTTTCGAACAAGGCATCTGCTGTTAACTGAGTATGCTTCATAATGTCAACTCCTTGCAGGTGTTTAAATGAATGAAGGCTTTTACAGACTTGAACAGCAATCAGTTAACAGTCTGGATTTGATTTGCTCTGCTTGTATCAGATCAGACAAGACTCCTGCAGCATAGAATTCATCATAGAGATACCAATGACCAATTCATTTAAATGCCTGACAAGCAATAGCTTGCTAATAATTTAATCCTTTGTCTTACTCTGAACAAACACACATTCCTAAAACTCTATCCTAAGATGCAAGGGGTTGCTGTCAGCAATCTGCAGTCATTTGTTTAGTTTTGCTTTTCGTTGTTTTTGCTGTCACATGGATTTGCAACAAATCTACCCAGTGGTCTAGTTTCTTGCACACGTGTGCAAGTATCTGCACCAGGCAGAGCAAAAGAAAAAGCGCGAGCAATTTGTGGATGAAGAATGACCTGTAATGGCTGCAAAGATTGCTTTTCTTTAGTTTACTTCAACAAAAGTGAACGGCTTGCAAAGAAAAGATTGAGGTTACAAAAAGGTGATCAACTGTCTGTCTTTCTCTATCTTTTGCACTCACAACTACATACGGAATGAAACATTCAGACAGAAAAGCTCAATTGTCCCACTTTAAGTTCGTACTGGGGAAGAAACTAATCTACCAGCCTTCCAGGTGTATGCATCAGAGGAAATTCAACTGTTTGTCTTCAAGCTGTCTTATATATCTTTTCACAGCTTTTCAGTTTAGGTAGTCAAACTACTTATCCATCTGCAGCCAGTGACAGTGTCACAGCTCATCAAATGCCTGCACATTTCTTATTGTTTAATAGTGTAGTCTAGTTCTCTTGGTTATACACCTGATATGAAAAGCTTTCTGTATCTGTGATGAGGCAGGCTACTTTAAAACTGTGCACGCCAGCATAAATAGAGAGCGTGTCACTGATGGTAATTTTGCAGTTCTTTACTGTTTTTCACCCTGATCTGCAAAAAATAAACCCTGTCACCATAACAACAAACGGCCCACTGCTTTGCAGAAATGTTGTTGACGACAGCAAATGGACAAGCAAGAGAAAGGGACAGAAAGGTTGACGGTGTGTGTGTGGAGAGGAGGGCGGGGGGGTGGGGGGTGTTGGGAGACCATGTATTTCTCCTACGACAGCTGGAGCTCTTTCTTTTCACTGTGTGCCTCATCAGATGCCCATTCATGGAGCTTCCGGTTGTTGAGAGGCGGGAGAGAGACACCCACCTACACAAAGCAGAGGTCTTTGCTGTGTTGCTCACAGAGAGGGGAAGGAGGGTTAGAGGGAGGCAGAGAGATGTGAAAAGAGATGTGAGGAACGTAATTATGAGTTCTCCGCCTGAAAAGTGCAGGTGCTTCTCAAAGTGAATGTCGCTATAGGCATACATTCTGCTGCTGTGTCTCTGCATTGCCCCTTTTTTATGATTAACCCTTCTGTCACATAGAGAAAATACATTTATTGCCAAATACCACCTTAGGCTCCTTCATACAAATCATCCTCTTGACAGTAATCAGTGACAAAGTAAAAAATAAGAAGAATAACATGAGAAGACAGAAAAATAATCCTGAATGCATATGAAAGATGTTGCTGAGCAACAGTGTTTCCTCCTGCCATCTTTGCTCCAAGGAGCCTCTCCCATTATTTCAGCCAGTCCAGTTGTGTACAGGCACCTTGATATTGTACCTTCATGCAGAGTTAGTACTTCAATGGCAATAGTCAGAGTCTCTTAAGTTAAGTCTGCATAAATCATGTTTGCAAGATGAGTGATATGGGGACAACTAAAGCAAACATTGCTGTGGATGATTCATTTGAATGCATGTAGCCTCTCTGCAGAGTAGCATAAAAATGCATTATTTGAGGAGTTTGAATCTTCATCACCATGCATGCATTTAGATTAATGTGCAAGAGTGACTGTCATTTGTCACTCTAGATGCATATTTCATCTGACTTTATGCTTTGGTATGCAATGCAGGAGAGACTCCTAAAGCAATTTTTGAAATTCCACAGCAGAGTATGTAATCACACTTCTCCATGGACACAGACTAACCATGTCTCTTGTTTACCACTCAATAGGAGGAGTGCATTGCACAAATAACGGAACTAATAAGCGTCTGTGGTTGCCAGTGGCAATGCTTCTATGGACGTCAGACTGACGCACATGATTCGCGGTTTAGTTCAGTGTGTGGGAGGAAAGAGCAAGAGCTTGGAGATACCAGCCTGCTGTGAAGGACTGTAATTGCAGTGCCAGAGCAATTATGTCCCGAAGAACTAGGCATTTTAGATCATTCAATCTGCCCTGAAACACTATGATACTGATCAGAGGCAATTCCCTGATGCATAAATATAAGTTCAACAATGGGTCCAATTAAAATGCACCTCATGAATATTGTGGAACAAAAAAGGCATTTAATTTGGAGAAAGCTCTTATCCTGCATACTGATATCTGATTATTTCGATGTTGGAGCATGCTGACTGACAGATTTTTTCCTCTCTTTCATTCTCTGTTTCTGTGCAGCTCCCTCGCTGATACAGACATGATATATTGTCTGGTGCATTAAAACCTGCAAATCCAGCAATTCTTCAGAGGGGTTTCATTGATAAGTCAAAAGATCTGAAACAAGTGCAGTAACTTGCAACAAAGAAGTCAAAGAAACAACCTGGTTAAACCAACAATCACAGAAACAACAACGACACCAACGTCTATCAAAGCCGACCCAATGGCGTGGTCAGCTCTTACCGGCCCCTGTGTGGCCCTCGTACTGCTCTTCTTCGGTTTGACCTCCTGCACTCCCTCCGGCCCTGCCTCTGCCACCTGCGCCACCCTGGAACAGAGTCGCTTCTTTGGTGTATTCTCCTCTACAACCACCCTGCCCTCCACACCATGCTCCTGGACCCTGCAGAACCCTGATCCCCGCCGCTACACCGTCTACATGAAAATCACCAAGCCGACTGACTCCTGCATCCCCCGGCCAGATCAGAACCTTCCAGTTCGACTCCTTTATCGAGACCTCCCGCACCTACCTGGGTATGGAGAGCTTCGACGAGGTTGTCAGGCTGTGCGACGCATCAACCACTGTCACCTACCTGGAGTCCAGCAAGCAGTTCCTGCAGATCCGCAAGGTGGCCCCAAGAAACGGCCTGGAGATCATGGATGGGCAGAATGATGTCAGTGAGTTCAAGGCTGAGTTTCTGGTTGTGGGGAAGAGGAACCCAAGTATGCCTGCCTGCCAGATGTTGTGCCAGTGGCTTGAGAAGTGCCTGTCCAGCAGTACCCATGATTATCCCTGTGGCATCATGAACACACCTTGCCAGTGCTGGGAGGCACCAAAGAGGAAGCCAGGAAGCTGCTACAGGGGCGGTATCTACGTTGAGAAATGCCTCCCTGTTCCAAGAGACAACGGACGTGATGCTGAGATTATCAGTAAGTTTGTAACATGTTTGGTTGCTTTACCTCCAAAGTACTCAAAATGTGAAAGAAAATGATGTCCAAACATCTCACCTCAAATGTGATGGGGGCTCATGTTCTCCAGGACCCCCACAGCTCTACAGGCAGTCTCCAGCCTTGTTATCACTGAGTGTTTGTGTCTTAGTAGCTAAGGAGGGTAATTATCCATGTCTGTAGAGCAGGCGGCGGATGTGCACTCCGCTGCCACAAAGTAATGAAAAGTAAATCAAAAGTGTTAGAGAAATTTGTCGGTGCATCTTCAGGCCTCATTGGCAAGACTGCCAGAACTGCACACATCCCCAGCTCTCCATTTTGTGTTAGGTTAAATGCTTGGCAACAAGTCTGGGTTTTGGGGAGAGATAGAGGGTATGTTTGTGTGTTAAGTTGGGGGGGGGTAAGAGCACAAAGACCTCACAGTCAGCCGGCAGCGGAAATCGAAGTGCAGCTCTTGTGGTCGCCATAGCAACATGACTGTCGGCCTTACACACCGCTCTGCTGTGGTTCACACCAAGTGGTTAAAAGCAAACAATTAAAATGGAACATCCATCGGCTTGAGTGCTCACAAAGACTCGTCCTTGCACATTCTCAGCACATAAAACAAATGTTAGTCACTTCCTGTTCTTATAGAGTATTTGAACTTTACAGAGGGAGGATGAGTCATGAGGTTCATGAGTCAAGTTTTACCCAACTAAGCTTTTGCTCGATTACTGCCATTTCTTGCAACAATATCAGTTTTCCACCTTGCTCAATATCTCTCCTCTTCTTCTCTCTTCCTGCAGAGGGCTGGGCTGGATGGGGACGCTGGTCAGTATGCAGCCAGGAATGCGGTGGCGGAGTCCAGGTGCGCAGCCGAGGCTGCCAGCCTGAGGACAGTGTGTGCACAGGAACAGTTGAAGAAGGGCGTGCCTGCAACCCTCAGCCCTGCATTGGTAAGCACACCAGTCATTTAGTCATTTAGTTGGGAGCACTCAGCTGCAGGTGGCTGAGATTCAATGCAATAATCATGCAATTTTCCAATTCTCTCAGGCAAAGAGCGCAACAGGAGCCAGGGTCTGCGTGCCATTGTTGGGATGAGGAAAGATAATGCTGATGATTCTAACCATGGAGTTGTTGCAACCCAAACAGGTGAGATAGGAAGTTCTTGTTAATAGTATGGTAAATAGTTATTTATTCATACATAATGCAGATATTGCACATGTGAATTAAAAAAATACATGGCTTACTGCAAAAAAAAAACAGAAGCTAGCAGAAGGTGGTGTACTGACCCTGTAATTCATGTTTTTTCCATAGTAGATGCTAAGACAGATGAGTGGTCCTCCTGGAGTTCCTGTTCAATCACCTGTGGAGAGGGCTGGCAGAGCCGTACTCGTGTCTGTGCTACTTCCCCTTTCACCACCCAGTGCACCGGACCGCTGCGTGAGAACCGGCCCTGCAACAATACAGCTGTCTGCCCTGGTGAGTGCCTAGTTTCTCCACTCTAATGTGAGCCTGACGGGGGACAAAAGAGAAAAAGAGTGTGATCTCAAAAATTCTATTCTATGGACAAGAGGTAAAAGCCATTATCCCTTAATGATTTCCCTTTATACAGCACCAGTCACAAAGGAAGAGTAGATAAAGAGAAGCGTTGAAGTTGAAGAGACAATTTTGAGCTTTCACAATCAATCCAAGATTTGGATTGTGGAAAAGAGGCTTCAATTCAATATCAAGTTAATTTTCCTAATAGCACTAAATTAGGGCTGCATCTCAGGGATTGTGTGGAGGACTGCCCCACCTAGTGGAAAGTTTGCCTGAATGTGCCTGTGGTTTATTGACTGAAACGTGAAGTGGATTCAAATTATTAGTTGCTCATTTTTTAAACAAAATAATAAGTTCCCTCATCAAAATATCCCTCTGTGTTACCCATGTGTAGTGGATGGTGCTTGGGATGAGTGGACCCCCTGGAGCCTGTGCTCATCCACATGTGGCCGGGGTTATCGTGACCGTAGCCGCATATGCAAGCTGCCCCAGAATGGAGGAGAGCCTTGCCGCGGCCCTACAAGACAAACCAAGTTCTGCAACATCGCTGTCTGCCCAGGTGAGACAAGGATTTTAGGATTTAAAATAATCTTTTAATTTCTGACTTTCTGACTTGACTGAGATTTTTGATGATGATGTATAAAAAAGTTGTACATAAAACCTCCTTACCTCATTACTCCAAAAATTCCAAACACCTATTATTGCTTTTATGTGCCAGTTTGTTCTTTTACTACCGTACTTGACCCTTCAGTTGACTGATTCATATATGAGAGACAATTAAAACACTTATTGGCATCACCACCATCATAAACAGCAACTGCAGTGGCAGGTTGACATTACATCTGACGCATCCACAGAATAAAAGCCACTGTGGGCATTAGTCAGTGACTGTATAATAACTGCTGGTGACTCATACTGTGCTCATGGTCACTCAATATATCAGAAGCTTAGTTCTTCCCTTTTGTGCCACCTACTCTTGTGCTGAACGTTTTAAACTCATTTGGAAGTCACAGCTGCAATTTATACAGTTAGTTTTTTTGCCACTTTTCCACACCAGTTTTTATCATTATTATCATTCACATGTGTGATTTCTTTATCTAAACAACATATTATATTTCCTTGTTGCAATTGCATGCTGCCATCAGCAGATGTCTCTATGAGCCACAGCTGAATTACTGTTGATGTCTGAAACTGAGGATGGGTTGTTAGGCAAAGTCATTATTGAGAGATGATTACACATTTCATTTGAAATTGAAAGGCTCAGAAAATTGAGTCGTCCTTAATAGCCCATTTAGCATGAGATTTTTTTTATTTTGAGCAATCTAACTTTTTTAATACTATGCACTTTATTTAATCTATTTTACCATCTTGCAAGGCAGCATTTTAATTGCAAAAGTAATAGATTTTTTAAAAATCTTTTCAAGGTTGTTATACCCCAAAATTGAATGTGGATATGAAAGGTCAATCATTATTCCTTCTTATTTGGCATGCCTTTTTGTCCTTTATTAAAACTGTTTTAAGTATAGTATACAGCATAATTGTTTCTCAATGAGATTTTAAAAAAGATGGGTCTCTTGTTGTCCCATGATTTTTATTAGAAAATAGTACTTTTCCCAACAGAGTCAAGTGCACTAAACGATGCTCATATTACTCATAAGGACATAAAATCTTAGGACTTGAAGGACAGATAACTGAGCTTCAACTTTCTGTTTCACTTAAGCTCAGCTGAAGTAGGTCATGTGAAATGTTAATAGCATCAGTGAGTGAGCTGTGATGCCTGTGGCTTGAGGGTCTGTCTTGTCCTTGCACTCCCTGTAACTCTCTTGCGATATTTGTTCCTCTGCCTCCCTCTAGTGGACGGATCCTGGAACGAGTGGTCTGCCTGGAGCACATGCTCTGCTTCTTGCTCCAACGGTACCATGCAGAGAACACGGGAGTGCAATGGTCCATCATACGGAGGCTCTGAGTGCCACGGCGGCTGGAAAGAGACATCTAACTGCTTCCTGAAAGATTGTCCCGGTAAAAAAGAAACTAAATTCCCATATTGAAGATTCACTATCCAAATAAAAAAGAAATGCATTAGACATATCAAAGTCCAGAGATAATGATGTGAAATATTTTCTGTCTTTAGTTGATGGACGCTGGCATTCATGGAGCTCTTGGAGCAGCTGCAGCAAGACTTGTGGTGGAGGCATCCAGCAGAGACAGAGAGTTTGTGAAGGTCCTTTCTTTGGCGGAGAACCTTGCCCCGGTGAAAAGGGAGAGCAGAAGCGTTGCAATGAGAAGAGATGCCCTGGTTAGTGACTCCATTACAATGGATTAGAGTGGCCACACAACAATACAGTTTAATAAAGAATGAGATTACTTATCCTTTTATTCATCCTTGTAACTTTTTAGAGCCCCATGAGATCTGCCCTGAGCAGAACACTGGAGATGTTGTGTGGAAGAAAACCCCCGCTGGAGACATGGCTGCCATTGCCTGCCCTGCTGATGCTGCAGGTACAGTGACAAAGAAGACAGCGACAGGCTTTGTCTGTTTTCCTTGGACAGAGTTTACTGTTTATTATCCTCAATTATACCAACTACAAGTATGTACTTTGTCTCATTAACAGGTCTTATTCTGCGCCGGTGCACCCTGGATGCTGTAGGTCTTGCCTCCTGGGAAAGCCCAACTCACATCAAGTGTGTCTCCAAGAACTATGAGAACATTCAGATGCTGGTAAGCCCCAAAAGCGTGCCCTAATTAAAATGCAAAATGCCTCATCTGCTGTGTCCTCATATGGCTAATTTCCCAGTAGTGAAGTCAAACCAGCGAATGTCAAAGATTCAGATTAACCTCTTGACTCTTCTTCTGTAGTCAAGGGACTACATTTCCAAAGCACAGATGGGGCAGAGTGTGGATGGGGTCGCTGAGGTGATTTCACGCCTGAGAGTCTCCTCCGATGAAGGGGCCAAGTACAGCGGCGACCTCTTGGCTGTCATGGAAATCCTGAAGAACACCACTGAACTGTACAAGGCAACCATAATGAAACTGAACAATGCTGATGTTGAGGTAAGCTGAAACCTTTTTAGTTAACAACTGAAAGGATTGGTTTATTTTCAACAATATGTTAGGCATATATTAAAAAATAAATATATCACTCTCTGTCATGCTTCTCTGACCAAAAATAGTTTCTAATTAGGCTGAATTTTGTATCTTCCTAACACCTCTGCCTCCATTTAATGATCTGCAGAACTACGTCCAGACCATCAGCAACTTACTGAAGGAGGAACATCGTGACAAATGGGAAGAGGCGCAACTGGTACGTGATAAGAGGGTGTATGTATGAGTGAATGTGAACAGAGGAGAAAATAAGTCTCTTACACTGATGTTCTTGTGATGGGATGAGTATGTGCATGGAGAGGGTTGCTGGGGTGAGTATGAGAAATTAGAGTGATAAGTTAAAGGGGGTGGGTAGAGTATCAATGATTGACTGATTAGCACTCCTAAATGCCCTTTTACTCACCCAAACATTGGATTAGAATGGAATAACAGTGTGACACCAAAAGCTTTAAAGCATTAAATTACATGTCTAGAGCTCAACTTATCATCAAGTTCTGCCTGACTTTTTTAGATTAATTCATAAATTGTTCCTACAACAGATTAAACAGAACTTTGAGTCGTTTGACCACCTGTTGATGGATTTCTTCTGCTTGTTTATGACAAACAAAATCGGTGTCCCTTGCTACAGGGAGTAAAAAAACAGTAATCAAGTTCCCTGAGAAAGATAAGCAAGTGTAGAAAAGTTAGACAAACAAACAAAAGACCCCCACTTGCAGAGAGTAAGCACATATTTGTGTGCACACATTGAAAACTGGATTGTGAATTACCGAGGCCACTGCAACAAGAGAAGGTGAACACTTCAAGGTGACAGCGAGAGAGAGAAAGAGTGAGATTGAATCAGGGAGAATCACTACGCCCACTTTGCAATCTGTGAGTCTCTATGCCATCCTACATACCAATAGCAGTTGTAAGGGGACACAGACAGCACATTGCATACAAGCACACACCTTGCGCCCACATCGCTGCAGTTCTGCGTCAGAGACACGCAAGTCAGGCAGCCCTCCCTTCCAGCAAGTGAGAGGACAGAAAAACCAGAGTATGAATCAACAGCCTGCCCATTTATGGCCTTAAGGAAGTTCTGAGGTTGCATAGCAGCAAGAAGTGTATTTTTTTCCCTTATTTTTTCACTCCACTGCTGTGCGGTCTGAAAGGAGTACAGGCTGGACTGACAAAGGGATAGGAAACCTATATATGGGCATATAACAGCAGCCTTGTCCAAGCACTCAATTATAGTAATTGTCTAAATTGCATATAATGAAACTTCATAAATATGCCCCTGTCCTTTTCCCTTATGTTCTCTCTGTCTGACTCTTCCTCCTTTTCTCTACTTTTTTTGATTTTATCCAGATGGGTGCCAGCATTAAGGAGTTCCTGCGCCTTGTTGAGGACTCTGTGAACATGATCGCTATGCAAATGAGCGGCTTTCAGGACATTTATGAAGTCACAGAGAATTTAGGTGAGCCCTAATTTCCTCTGCCAGCTGCTCTCTGCTCATGTCTAGTCAGAATGATCTGTCCTTTCTCCAGCACAGAGAGTGCATCAATCTTAATCTCACTTGTGAGTCCATATAAGCAGCAGCAGAATGCATTAGTTTTCACTTTGACCGTGTCAAGTCCATCAGCTATACCATATTACATGTGTCATCTCTAAGATGTTGTGCATATTTGGCACAACACATATATAGCTTTTACACAAACTTATCAATCTGTCAAATACTGTAATTACTGCAAACTTCACACTCTGAGTCACTCTGAAAAGTCACACTGTGACTTGTGTGACCATTTTGGCTTAGTGTGGGTGACATTTTCACAGGACTTAATAGGTAATGACGATTCAGATACACATGACGCATGAAACCAAAATGTCCTTAGAATTAGACGATTCTTCAACCAACACAGTGTAGAAAATAAATGTATAAAACTAGATGACCTCTAATTGCTGTTCACTAACAAAGCCCCGGTCAATTTCTGTCCTTCTCAGTGCTGAGCATCCACAAGCGCCCAACAACTACAAGCTCCAACTTCACCTTCCCTTTGAAGGGCTGGAGGGGCATGCTGGACTGGGTCAGGACCTCTGAGGAGAAGATCTCTGTGTCCCGTGATGCTCTGTCCATTGAACAGACTGGTAAGATCAAACAAACACGATGCTCTAAAATCAACCAATGTGCAGTTTTGTGAATGTGAGTCTAAGCAGACATTTTGTTATTTCCAGATGGCAACGATGCTTTTGCAACTGGCATTGTCCTCTACAGAAACCTTGCTTCTATTCTGTCCTTCCAGAGGTAATACACTTGCTCTGCATTTATATGTATGTAACTGGCCTTCCATGTAATATATTTTGTCGTCACAAGATGGCGCCCTTTGTTGAAAGAATCACTACTACCTATATTCCCATTTTCATTTCCAATTTTTATTGTAAGGCCTTGCAGATACCTCATGTTAAACCTCATTCAACTATAATTTCTCATGTGGATGACACTCCCTGTGTAATTTGCTGTTTCTCCACAGTAACACAACCCTCCTCAACTCCAAGGTGGTGACAGTGATCGTCAACCCCACCCCAAATCTCCTGTCATCCCCTGTTGAGATTGAGTTCCCCCACCTCCACAATGTAAGTCCCTAATGGTTACCCAATCTAATGGAGCCTTACAAAAAATATCAGCCCCCCTCTGGCTGTTTGCTCACCGCAGTACACAGAGCCTGACATTTTGTTGACATTTGCAGTGACACTGTGACTTTTACTTATACTTGTGTCAGTTGAAACCCGGCAAAGATCACAGCAGAACCAATCGGTCACTTGGCAATGATGGGAAATCATGCGCAGTAATTAGTCTCTGCAGCTGATAAGGGGCTGTTTTTAGTTACGTGCATGTATTACGGGGGAGGGTGGTGAGAAATGTGGGCAGGTGGCTGGCAGCAAGCTGTTGCATCTCACACGTTTATAGTACACGTCCCAACCTACACGTTTCCATTTTCTGCAGAGATTCCTCACACTGACTTCTCCATCTGCCTCTCTTTTGCAGGGTACTATGAATGAGACATGCCTCTCATGGGACGAGAGTGAAACGTAAGTGTTGACCACAGTTTTTTTCTTTAATATGCACCAAATAATCACACACATCTATTCTATGTTCGGAGTGGCCTCTGTCAGCTGATCTGGCACTTGTTGTTGTAGCCGAGGTCCCTTCAGTTATGCATCTGTCATTGCATATGAACATTCAATCCCCCTAGACCTACACTCACCATAGACAGAGCAAAAATGTCTCCCAGCCAGTAGCACCAGGCCTCGCTTAGCTGTCTGACACACTTACTGCACACAGAACCTGTGATCTACAGTGGTTCTAGCTGAGCGACACTTCACTTCATTCTCACAGTCTCCTGCATCGCTTTAAAAGAACCACTTCCTGAGGAGAGAAAAATACACAGGCAACACTTCAAACCTCATTACATACATCAGTGAGTAAATTCATTGCAGTGTCCCTACAGGTCACACTGCAGATTGTCAATCTTAAGACAATGGCAGCTCTCCCTCCCTCGCCCTCTAAGTCATGTTCATATGTCACTGCCGAGGTTAATGGTTATGGCACGTGGGAGTTTTTAAAGATGCTTAGATGCATTTGAATGACTTATGGAAGGAGCTTCTGGTGGCCTGGTCTGGATCAATCAGCCCCAGGCCCACTCTGCCCTCCTGAAGAATACACAGGTGGACCATTTGCATTTAGATAGATTTGTACACTTGTGGAGGACAGATAAGAAATGAAAATGCACCTGCATCCAGATACCCCCCGCACCTTTTCACATAACAACCAGAGTCAATGCATGAGCAAAAGCAAAAATGAATCGAAGGAGAAAATGTAATTAACTCTTATGCTTTGGGAGGGGAGGGCATTGTGCCTCTAGTCAAATTAGATTCATTTTTGACAGCGGATGTGATTAATGGGAGGATATAGTCAGTGGAAATGGCAGAGGAGGAAGCTCTGGCTGATGGCAGAGTTTGGGGTCAATGCATGTTTGCAGAGCCGCATATGTCTGATCAGAGGAAGTGCTCCATTAGCTTCTCCACCAGTGATCTTTGCCAGATGGATACAGATACAAATGCTCTGCAGCTTTTTTGTGACATTAAAACAACGAGACAGGAAACAAATTACAGGGCCACACGTTTTTTTGGCTTACTTTGCATCATACATCATTTAACCCATCTGCATGATATGACAACTCGAACATAGAACACTTAACACTGTGCAGCCAAGCCTGCTTAGATGCCTTCCCAGTTAACTGCCATAATGATTTTGCCCTGTGGCCGAGTGACCATGACACTCTGTACCAGCCTGGACCTGCTGGCTATAATGTCCCTCTGTAAGCACCAGTCAGTCAGAGCCTGAGGCTGCTGCTCATTGCCTTAACCTCCTCTGTGCTTTCTGGCATCTGCTCCTAATGCTGCTTACACACAAAGGTCTCAGATTTGTTTGGCAAATCTCTTAGAACAGGATCTGAGCAAAATACTGCAGATTCAGTGATCTGCAGAAGTGCATCTCATTTGATAGATGGCCTCATTATTGATTTCAGTTTATGTTTGTAATATAATTTCTCTATTTTCTGTCTGATCAGACTTGTCACAGTATTGTGTACTGAGATATTGAACATATACTCGGTCAAAAATCACTTTTTAAATACGAACAAAAGTCACTTGGAGTGTAGATTTCCTCAATATGGTGAAATAATCATAATTCAGATTGTGTTCACATTCCCCTCCTTCTTTTTCAAAAGAGGGAACACGTTGTTCTTCGTCCCTAGTGCACTGGGCAAGTGTTGCCAATAATCTCATATCTACAGAGTAAAGATTGCCCATAGCATGAAAGAATACAGATTATGCTAATAATGAGATTTATGGGGGCCTATCATCATTAATCATGGTACATATGGCTATTAATCACATAAATGCCACCATCAAGGCTTTCCTGAGATGCAGCTGAGCACCTCAGGTTATATGAAATAATATTTATTGTTCTCACACTGGATCACATAACTAATATTTCATTATTTAAACAGTATATAAAAATGTAAAACAATGTGCATTTTGTCTGTATTGGGCTCTTTTAAATCTGAGTCCTGGTGGGGCTTACCATAAGTAGAATATTCTAAATATATATTTTCACCATATATATGAGTAAAATGTCAGTAAGAGACATTCACATGAGGGATTTGTCAGATCTCTCCTCTCCTAACCCGTCGTTGCCTTTCCCTCTCCTTCCTTGTGCAGTTCCTCTCTGCTTGGATCTTGGTCTGCTCGGAGCTGCAGAGCGGTCCCCGTTCATTCATTCAGAACCAAATGCGTGTGTGACAGCCTCTCCACCTTCGCCATTTTAGCGCGCGTCAACTTCGACTCGGTAAGTCTTCTGTCTCTTCACAATGTGTCGTTGTTTTTTGTACACAATTCGTCTTAAATGTTTCGTGCAGTGTGTGTGTGTGTGTGTGAATGCGGTGCAGTGGGAGCGTATGGTACTTGTTGTTTTCGAGCAGGTTTGCCGTAGCGCTGCCTGCCAGCAGCTCTTTGTCTCCGTGCAGGTGCCGCTGATCGGAGAATTACAGCCTGGCTTCTTTTTTTTTTTTTTATTGAGGGGAAATAACCGAGCAACACGTTGATGTGAAGGAATTGCGTTTAGGTTTTAAAATGAGAACATAATGAACGGCACATTGGCGGGTCGATTTTGCACGAACTTGTTAATTTGATGCTCATTTTCAATTAGCTGCGTAATTGACACAATAAATATTATCGCAAGCTATGGGAGATATCTTATGTAGGTTATTGCGTGAAAATTAAGAAGCATTGATCCCAAATTATTAATTGAATCACTCTAAATGACTTTTTTGCTGATTGTGTAATCTTGGTTTGCATTTATTTTCCGATTATGCATGATTTTGGAAGAATGCATGTAAGGCTAAGTAAACAGTGCATCGGAACTTTTGCGCACCGGATGCTTTGAATACTGAAATCTATCATTACGCATCGTTGTATTTTCATGCGCAAAGACAATGTGTAATTTTCCCCCGTAGACTGCGTTGCCTTCAAAGCTGCTCGCCCTCCAGTTGCCGTGGCAACGGCTTCTGCAGCGCGAACTCGGCCTGTGTGATTTTTGATAACTGAGATGCTGAGGAAAAAAAACACACACACAGCCCCCTCCTCCCTCCTCTCTCCTCTCTACTCTGAACAGCCCCCTAGGACAGAGGAAATTGCCTGTCCACTTCTGCTGTGCATCTGATTGCTGCTGCAAACAAAAAGCAATCAACAGATGTCTATTAGTGTGAGGGAATGTATATTTTCAATGTGCATTTAGGTCATTTTCCAAAGGTATCTGGTGTGCAGTCGGTGGCAAAACAGCTTATGAATTTGCACTGCAGTGTTTTTCTGCTGCTGAACCCAGTCAGCCTCGTCTTTATCTTTCCCCCCAACCTGTTGTTTACATCGTACATTTGATTTGTCTTGTTTATGCCAGTCTGAACAGCGCCTCCCATATTTGTTATAGGCTGCACATACCCCCTTCTTTTCAACCTCCCGCGACAGTAAAAAGGCAGCTGCGGCAATCATTCCGTCTGCCAATATCTCTGAATTCTCGATTACATCCACCCCCCCCTCTTCCTCATCCTCCTCCTCCTCCTCCTTCCTCTTTGGCCACAGCAGCCAATGCCAGTGAGGCGGACCAATGAGAGACAGACGTCTGGTCATGCATTGATGCCCCCCCTCCCCACACCCGCCCGCATCTCCATCCATCCTTTGATGTGTGCTGTGGACATTTTCAATAATGTCTTTCTGCAAGCTGTATGAGGAACCAGTGAGAGGCAGAGAGAGAGGAGATGTGAAAAACAGCCACATACTGCAGTGTGTTAGGTCTCATTCGATATGGTCCGATTTCAGGAGTCCTGTAGCATCATGTGTGATGGAAACATGATGGTCCAGCAGAAGCAGCCCACATTGTTAATACAGCAGATGCCCTTGACCACTGGGGTAATCAATTCTAAAAAGAAAAAAACAGCAGGAAAAGTGTACTGGTTAACGGTTTCTCTGCACATTCCTCCTCCTTTACCTGCCCTTAGATTTATTCAAAACGAGAACATGCGATTCGGTCAAGGACAGGCAGAAGACATGCTTCATATTTAGGTCAAACTGGCTGTCTGGATTTCACTGAGAGGCCCATGGTGCAAGCATCAAGCCAGATATAGAGATTGGGAAAAGAGGGAACAGAACATACTGTATCGCCCTTGTTATTTTTTCCTTCCCTAGATTCGGTAAAGGCTGAAGCAAAAAGACAGCTCAAAGCTCTGCTATCTGCCATCTGTTTTGGGGCGCTTCTGATGTAGTTGGATAGATTTTGAAAAAAAATTTGCCACACTAAATTAGTCTTTGGCTGCCGTAGGCCGGACTTCACCAGCTGTGCTTTGATATCAGAAAAGCCTATGTGGAGCACATATTGGGATGGAGAGGAACAATCCTTCAAGTCCAGTATTTTACTATAAATTCTGAGACACTATCAACAGTGGCAAACGTATTAGAAGCCATGCTTCACATGCCCTTGCAAGAATTTATGATCATCATAAATCGAATGAAGGCCAAAGTGTTGTTTATTCTTTCTCCTCTATCTGTGCTAAGTTGATACCTGCAGATTTATTATATTTCTGGACATTTTCTCACTCACCTTTTGGAGCCACTTAGTCCTTTCTCGCCTTTTTCTCCCTCAACATATTATCAAAAATGCAATCACACCATTTGTCAGTGAGGGCTTCATCTGTAGAAATGATTTTCTACACACTTTGTGGTGGTGACAACTTGATCAGAGGTGTTAGATTAACTCAAAACCCTATTAAAGAGTAGGTGTGAGACAGACAGATTGTAGATGCAGTAAAACCACAAAATTAGCTGCTGGGGGTTTGTAGGTGTGTTAATCAGGTGGCGAGGCCTTTGTGAAGTCTCAAGGAGCTGAGATTTGTGTGTGCAGCAGTGACCCGTCGGCCCTCCAGGTGAATGAGCAGCAGGGAAGACAATCCCTCCTCAGTCTGACCACCAGAGGTTTGGTGCCAGGGCTGTTTGAAACATGGGACGGTCACCGCCGCTGGCAGTGGCAGGTGCTAAGCTGCTGTCAGAGATCAGAAGGGCAGGTGGTGGCAGATTAATGCACAAGTGATAATGGTCCACCTGTTCACTCCTGCAGGGATGGGCAAGGAGCTGCTGGTTGGCACAAAAACACAGACATAGCAAGAAAATGCTAAAACACAGCAAAAAGGGAGAGAAAAAGAGGAGCTCAGGATGTCTGTCAATAATGAGAAGGTTGCTGTAAGAGCTCAAACTAATGACTGAACACAGCAACCCCCCTGAACTGCCCCTGGGAAATGAACAACCCCCCTACTTGCTTAGTTGAGAGAGATATATGTGCAGTGTCCTCCTCGCCTCATTTGCTGACTCAAAAGCTCATCGTAGAAACGCAGTGACCCTGACCATTTGTTTAGTTTGCCGCTCCATCTTTCTGACATGTTCACCTTGGGGTCACCTTGCCTCAGCCGTGGCCTGATTGTGCCATTCAACTGTTTTCCTACAGGGAGCTGTCTGCTATTCCAGATAGCGCACGCCCAGAGGCTTCGCTAGCACATGCATATGTGTGTGTGTCTAGACCTCAGCGCTGGTTTCCCCTCTGCCTGAATATGTGTGTGTGTGTGTGTGTGTGTGTGTGTGTGTTTGTAATCAGCTCTAAGCGGCATGTTTGGTCTTGTCTCCTCTCTGTAGATCATGGACAAGGCACTGCTCCCGTCCGTGACTCTCATCGTTGGCTGTGGGGTCTCCTCTCTCACCCTGCTGCTCCTCATCATCATCTACGTCTCTGTGTGGAAGTAAGTAGCCCTACGAGCAGAGTCCAGTCATGTCAGCCTCGAACGTTACAAGCTGTGTGCTCTTGCTTCTCTCTACTCTACCTACTCATCCCTAAACTTACTCTTTTCTTCTCCCTTTTCAAAACTCCAGGTACATCCGCTCCGAGCGCTCCGTTATCCTCATCAACTTCTGCCTTTCCATTATTTGCTCCAATGCCCTCATTCTTGTTGGACAAACTCAGGCTCGCAACAAGGTAAAGCACTCTTCTAGCCAATCCCAACCTCTCTTTTAAATCTCTCTGAAACTCACTGCTTTAGGGATTTTGGAAGTAGCAGCGCCACTGACACAGATTTCTCATCTTTCCTCTCTATCTCCCCTTCCTTCTGGGCTCCCACAGGTGGTGTGCACTCTTGTAGCTGCTCTCCTGCACTTCTTTTTCCTCTCCTCTTTCTGCTGGGTGCTGACAGAAGCTTGGCAGTCCTACATGGCTGTCACTGGTCGTCTGCGCAACCGCATCATCCGCAAACGCTTCTTATGCTTAGGCTGGGGTAAGAGCACCTGTCTTTATGTTCATCTCTCCCTTTTTTGCCACTTCTGTTGCATCACTTCTCTCAAAAGCTTTTTTTTCCTAACTTTCCCCCTCACCTTTGCATATTTTCTATCTTTCAGGCCTTCCTGCACTGGTGGTGGCTGTCTCTGTGGGTTTCACAAAAGCTAAGGGATATGGCACTGTCAACTAGTAAGTCTAGTCTCAGTCTGCAATTTTTAGGCCTTCTCTTTTCTCTGCATTTATTCTGAAAAGCTCTTCATCTTAGCTCAAGCATTAATATTCTTCCTCCTTCTCTTTTCTAGCTGCTGGCTGTCTCTTGAGGGCGGACTCCTCTACTCTTTTGTTGGCCCTGCTGCAGCTGTCGTTTTGGTACGTATTCTGACTTTGACGTCCCAATCCATCACAATACCTTGTCTGTTTGTAAATGCATTACCTATTATTACATTGTCTCATCCATGTTTTTTTTCTCTCTTACAAACAGGTGAATATGGTCATTGGTATTCTGGTCTTCAACAAGCTGGTATCCAAGGACGGCATCACCGATGTGAAGCTGAAGGAGAGAGCCGGGTAGGTCTTATTGATCTTCTCCGTACACCAGAGTATTGTGCTTATCGCCCTCATCAGTGCCATTACAGGTATATTGATGATGTGCTTTGATATCAAGCCTCACAATCAAACAACAGGAGTGAATAGAGCTCTGCCAGTAGAGAAGCAGAAGTCCATTGCAGCCTGTGTGAGTTGTGTCTAATCTGTTGTTTTCTCACCCTGCAGGGCATCACTGTGGAGCTCCTGCGTGGTTCTGCCCCTCTTAGCCCTCACATGGATGTCCGCTGTCCTCGCCATCACTGACCGCCGCTCAGCCCTCTTTCAGATCCTCTTTGCCGTCTTCGACTCTCTGGAGGGTTTCATCATCGTCATGGTTCACTGCATCCTGCGTAGAGAGGTAGGGAAAAAAACATTTAGATGAGATAAAGTCACAGGAATTAAAATAAGAAGGCAACTTATTCTTTTTTGTTTTGTTTTTTATTTGTGAGATTACATGGAGTGTGGTCTGGATGCAATTCCCTGAATTTTTCCCTCCACCCATTAGGTTCAAGAAGCTGTAAAGTGCAGGGTAGTCGACCGCAAGGACGACGGCAATGGAGACTCTGGCAGTTCCCATCACAATGGCCACACCCAGCTTATGGTAAATTTCTTGGCTTATTGCCTTTTTAATGTCTTGAGTGCCTCTTGCATTTTATCCCTAAATGAATATGTGCATAGATTAAGCACTGATAGAACATTTTTTATTCTTTTATCAGCAGTCTGATAACGAAAAGGATGGAGATTCAAGCAGACAAGGTAAGCCCCTTTTACATCAACCTTTCACTCTTGCTCTTAACCATTTTTCCATTTGCATTTCAGTTCTGTGAACCCTGCACATCCAATCACACATAAAAAGACAACATATTTATTAAACCAATTTTTCAGACATGGCTTGGTTCTTTATTATTTTTTAACTCTCTTTTACCTTCTTTCTTAAAAGGAATGAAGAGTTCCTCTGAAGAGAAGATGCCTCCTCCTCAGCTGCCTCTTCCCATGGGCTCCAACTTCCACACCCTGCCATCCAACCCCAGTAAGAGTCACATGCAGGCAGTTCCCGAATATTCCAGCCACACCCTCACCCTGAAGAGAGAGAAGAGCCGTCTGGCGGGAGGAGTCGACCCATCCTGCGGGAAACCCGTGTACGTCTGCGAGGGTGAGCTCTTCAGCCAGCTGGACGTCGATCTCGCTCGGGCTCAGGCCGAGGGAAGCATGTCTGACGGCAGCGGTTACGTCCTCATGCCCAACACTACCTCCACCTTGAGGTCCAAGCCCAAAGATGACCCAACAAAGTATAACATCAGCGTGGAGCAGCTGCCACAGGCCAGACTGATGCACCTCAGCGGGCCCTTTGCTGAGCCCCAGGCTGCCTTCGGGATGAAGTCAATCCACCCCGACCAGGTCAGCGTGTCGTATTCAGAGAGAGACTCGCCCATCCAGAACATCCATAACATGTCCAGTGAGTCTCACATCACCCACAGCAGCCTGGAGAACACCTTCGAGTCCATGAACTCCATGATGTCCAAGAGTGAGACCATCTCTACACTGTCTATGAGCTCCTTGGAGGTAGGAGGAAATGAAATAGTGTGACCTCTTCCCCGATAGCGTTATGCATTCTTGTGCATCTAATGTGTATCTGAAACTAAACCAACTGTCTTTCTCTTTCTACTTCTTTGCAGAGACAGAAATCCCGTTATGCTGAGTTAGACTTTGAGGTAAATATTGTTTAAATAACATTATAAAAAACATTATAAATGACCCATAATTTACATTAAAGGTGTTGTAGCAAGCATTAATTTTGAGAGTAAAATATTCTTTTCTTTGTCTTCTCTAGAAAATAATGCACACAAAGAAACGCCACCAGAATATGTTCCAGGACCTAAACAGGAAGCTACATCATGCTGAGAAAGACAGAGAGTCACCTGCCTCTGACAGCAAGGTAACATAAGATAATATTATGCTCATCATCCATTTCCATAATTTCAGGAAAACAGTAAGAGTAAACATAACAGAGGCAATTCTAATGTTAAAAGAGATTCTTTGATGTTAAAATGACCCTAGAAAACAACCAGTCATTTGTGTATTGAACTATGGTTGTCGTTACTTTGAGGTCATTTGAATAAGGATGTATTTTCTTCCTTCCTTCTTACAGTCTGTGAGATGGAGTGTGTCTTCAGGAGGAAGTGACAAAACGAACCACAGTGTGAGTGTTTATATACAACCTCACAATCTCAAAATTTACTGCCTGTAGATGAGACACACCATTAGATATTGCACTTGCCTCATGGAGGAATAATGTCCCCAAATGACACTATGACTTTCATTATTAGAAAATCACCTCTGATGTAATGAAGCCCATTTCATTTTGATTAAATCAGGAATTGCTCAGGGCTGATGAGTGGCACCAGTTCTAAATTGGCTCCTCTTTGTACTTCAACAGGACAAACAGCAAGCTCCTCTGGAGAGGCCGTGGGAGGGAGTCCGGGGAATACCACAGTCACCCCCTGCATGGGTTCGTAAAGACCTGGAGCCCCTAGCTGCCTCACCTCTGGAGCTGCACTCTGTGGAGTGGGAGAAGACCAGCACCACCATCCCCCTGGTGGGGCAGGACATCATTGACCTGCAGACAGAGGTCTGAGGGGGAAGAGGTGGGCTAGCAAAGCCCCCTGATTTCACCTTGGTCACCTTTTTGGTTTGGGAATGGTATCCTGTATGGATAGAGTAAACAAAACCAAGAAAGTGAGAAAATTGGTCCCAGAATCAATGTCTTCAAACCCTCAGCCAGAGCAGGAAGGAAGGGAGAGAAAGAGAGGTGGAGGAGTGTAAGTTGTGGTGATGGGATGTTTAATGTAGCTTCTCTGTGTGGACTTAAAGCATCTCGTGTCAGAGTGCTCTGAAGGTCAAAGGGTTGGTGGAGCGATCGGTGGTTTCCATGGACCAGGACTGGTTATGGTTCCATTAACGCTTCACTTGGAGTTTCTTGGACCCTTCAGCCTGGGTTCAGAAGATGTGGTCAACATGTCTGTGCTTCTTTTTTCCTTCACTTAACTTTGGAGAAAAATAAAATAATATAACACATGGTGTGTTCTCCCTACTTCTTGGGAGGAACAACCTGTACTCTTGGCTCCTCTTCGAGCTAAGCTACCTTCCAAAATAGGACAAGGCAAGAGAGCATAAGGGACCAGTTTCATGCTTGGAGTCCAACACTCTGCACTTTGGTAGATGGGCACACGTTTTGGTTTTGTGCCGTGGGTAGTTTTATTTTTTTTGGTTCGTGTGTTTGCTGCTTCACACCTGGAACTGCTTCAAAAAGCCTAAAATGAGACTCTTCCATGAGATTCTCTGTACTGAGAACTCCTCTACTAAAGAGCTGGCTTATTCATGCTGATAGTGCTTCTTACTCTTGTTATCACCATGGTTATTATTATTATAATGATTATTGTCAGTGTTATGATTATCATTGTTATTGTCATTATTGAGTTTATAGCCTATATTTTAATTTTTCATCCCTGTCTCATGACTGTCAGGCACAAGTTTTATTAATTTTCTACTGCGATCTACAACATTAGGCTCCAAAAAAAAGATTCAATGCATCTATAATGTGTTGTGAGCCCATATGGACTGCAACGGGACAAACAATACTGAGTGGTGATGGAGGTTATGGTTAGTTACAACATGTCCTGGTTTCTCCAGCATTCTGCTTCGATACCAAAACACCAGCACCGGGATGAACACAGACTCTCACACAGGAAGAGCAGTGCACTCTAGGAAATGCTGGGTGGAAATGTGAGGAGGTGGAGGATATACCGCCCCTCTCAGCTGGCACAAGATGCAGGCTCTTCCATGTCGTACATGTGGATTCAAGGGGTCAGCGAGACCTTTCATCATCGCCCTTTTGTTTCTCAGCCTTGCAGGACTCTTGGACCGAGCAGAGGCTCCTGGCGCTGATATGACTTCCAATGCAGCGTCAGGTCCTCAAGACTTCAACACATTTGTGTTTTTAGCCATCAGTGTGAAATAGTGCAATATGATGGGTGCTTGATGCTCAAGCAAGACTGATATGATTTAGGCAGAATTTTTTCTTACCAATGTTTCAAAACTTTTATACCATCTTCCTCATATTTACAGAGCAAATAGATGCTTTATGAGAATATTGTATGACAAATCTGTATTAGTAATTCAAGGAATTTATTCACTAGAGATTTGTTAGCACAAGACTCCATATTTGGAGCTCTCTGTGACAGGTAGATAATTGTACTTCTATAAAGCGAACATTATATAGACTGAATGATAGCCTATGAATATCTCTAAACTGTGCTTCAGGATATTTGTTATTACTCTCCGCTGTGTAGCGAGGGGTAATTGAACCTCATGTCTTCTGTAACAGTGTGTTTTTGATAACCTTGTCGGTAACTCAATAGTATGTACTACCAGCCAATTTCCCCGTCCCTTCAAATTCCTCTGTCCTTCCCTCAGCCCGATTCATACCTCGAGTTACTTGTACTGAATACCCATTTGTATTTTCTTGTCTCGACTTTGTTTTTTATGTTCTGTTTTACCTCCTGTAAATGTACAGTTTTCACAGCACAAAATGAATGTGACTTATTTCTAATAAAAAAACATCTATATTACATGAAGAATGTGGTCCTCAGTTGTTGACTGATAAACACATTATAATGGTGGAATACAACTTTAAATCTCATGTTCTCTGAAGTCTTGTAATTCTGAACAACAGGGAAATGATAGATAGATAGATAGATAGATAGATAGATAGATAGATACTATTTATCCCGAGGGAAATTCAAGGTTGATAGCTGTGTCTAAAGCCAGAATAAAACAAACCAGCACCTAAAAATAAAAGTTCATAAGTAAAACCACTAATAATAAACTGAATCACTGCAATATGTAGAAAGTGAGACAGAATATGAAGAAATGGATTTTGAACCCATGCCACATTAAAGCCTCTGGCAAACATTTTGCTCTCTAAATATAGACGTGATTTGCAGGTACAAAAACAGCAATCTCTTAAGATGATAAAAGTGTAATTCTCCTCTGTTCTATTTTCACACTTCGCAGGGAGGCAAATAATTTCCAAGAAAAAAAGATCTATGAAGTTGAGTAATGAGAAAACAAACAAATCTGACAGGGGCCAGAATATGATTATGACCTCCTTTAAAATATGACATGTTCTCAACAGTATAAATTTAGTTTTTTCACTGCTTTGTCTCCAGTATAGCTTTCTCTCTTCCCCACATAATCAGTTACTGTTTGTTTTAATTGAACAAGTGCACCAGTGTGCTGATTTTACTGCAACACAAAAGCAAAAGGAGATTTGCATGATCCATTTGTTAAGCGCTGCTCATTTTGTGGGGTCAGCTGGAGAGCAGACTGGCTTGTGTGCAAATGGTGCTTTACTGTAGGTGCCATTCCTCTCTGCATATCATGTTTGTTACTGCGTCACATGACCTGCACCATTTTCTCTGTGGCATCTGAATGTTTTTCACTTTGTGGAACATTTTGTGCTAATTTGTTTTCACACCAAAAGTCATACGTGCAATGTCTGCTCATGACAATTCAGAGCAGTAATGTTAGAGGTAATTTTCCGGCATCTGAAATGTGACTCCATATAATATACCATATGAGTCACAACTGGCTCTCATTATTTGTATTTCTTTCATGTCATGACCTGCAGATAGCTGCAACCAGTGAGCAAGAACGCAGACTGAAAAATGGACAATTTGAGAGACGAACAGACAGAGTGGAAAACATGCAGAAACAATAATAATACTATAATTTACATTAAACCATGAACATTGAATGATACAAACATCTGTCTGCACCCTTGCTTCATCAAAGGACACAACTTTCAAAAAGGCTGCAAGCGGCAGCGACTGCCAATTATTCATACTGTATAGACAGATTATATGCAGCTATATAGAAGCCCAGACCATTTACGTTTACTCATATCTATAAGGATACAGGCTCTCTCTCCTCATAAGCCGTTAACAAATCAAATCCAATTAAATTCCCAGTAATTAGTATATGCTGATGCAGTGTGTCTGTGTTTGTGTGTGAAAAACACATCCCAATGCTAATAACATCCTAAAGCTGTCGATGACTAACCACCCCCTACCCTCCAACACACACACTCATACATACACACAGCTTCTCATCTCAACCCCCCATCCCTCCTGACTTGAAATCCAGTATCAATTAGCACCTTGCTGGCAGTAACAGCGAGGTCCTGGCTGTCTCTTAATTGAACGCTGTTGCCATAGAAACAGCAGATGCTAATGCCGAAGACTGGGGAAGAAGAGAAGGTCTTTAAACCCCCGAAAGACAAGTGAAAGAACAGGGACAGGCGACAGGATTTTTTTTCCACAGGCAGTAATGTGTTTTTAATTATTGTCAGCAGTACAAGAAATTATTGTAATTATCAAGAGTAAAGCGGCAGCAAGGTCAACTCTGAACTGTTTTCATCTCTTGTATTTAATAGCTTGAGGAAATGAAATACAACAGAAAAAAGATAGCGAGAAAGAACTGAAAAACAGTTTTGGATTTTTATTTTATGACTCATCTTAACTCAGTTAAAAGGACAATTTTATGCTTTTTCAAATGTATTACTCCATGACAGAATATTTTTCCAAACTTTCCAAACTGATATATATATATATTGGTATATTACAATCTCCTTACATATATTACAATAATTAGGGATGCACTGATGCCCCTTTTTTAATTTGGGCACTTGCTACTTCAGTTCTAACAATGACTTTGAGAACATGTTTTATTTTCATCAAATGCTACTTTTCACCCTTTGACAATTTAGTTTGCCAGAATAGTTTGCAGTCTGCTCTACTTTTGTCATTATCATTTGTTTGAGTATGTCTCCAGATTGCTGACATTGCTTCTCCCTCGCCTACAGCTCAAATGACGTCAGGTTAACATCACATTGTCGTAGAGTTGTATCAGTAATTTTGTGTTTATGATTAAGAGTACATGATACAGTTACTGGTGCATCCCTCACAATAATTCAACCTTACAATCTTATCCTTTTTTGGCAACTTTGGGGCGTTGTAAACACAACTTTTACATATTTTTTTATTTTATATGGTGGCCTTGTAAGCAAACGGTTGCTTATTTATACATCCATCAGTTATGGAGAAACATTATCATTCACATGAAGTCATGTTTCATGGCCACCCAGTGAATATTCGCTCTCTTTTAGTACTGTTTAAGGTCCCTACCAACCTGAGTCTGTTTAGCTGCTAAATGTGCCATTATGTTCACTAGCTAGTCTCTATCTGCATCTGTCTGCTAATTGGTGCAAATAAGGTAGTTTACAGTGGGTTTCTTATTGGTTTTTCACTGATGTTCACTAACAGTCGCCTGCTGTATCCAGAAACAGTGATATGAGAGCGAAGAACCAAAGCAGAAAAGCACACCGACAGCTAAACAATAAACTAAAACTTGCTAAAAAGCTCAATAAAGCTATGTGGATTCATCACTACGAGCAACATCTTTCACATTATCACATTGTCACTGGATTTTGCTACCAACCCAAGCCTTACTGAATTTAAACATCTTATTCCTGAAATTGTCAGTGATTCTGCTGTGAAGAAGTAGACACTCTCTCAAGAACACACACTATAATAACAAGGAGAAAAGAAAAGCTTGAGGAGAGCAGAGAAAGTAAAAGTAGCTTTGTCTGACATTGTAAGGTGACATTTTATCTGAGATACTGGAAAGAAGCAGTGATTAGAGAGACTGTTGCACAATTAAATGGATTAAATCCTTGGAACCAGTCAATGTCTTCAACTATCCCTGCAACCTGTCAACGTATTGTGCAGCAAATAATACACAATTCCAGCAATAACACACAGAAACAACAGTTGAGAACACGCACTTCACACAATCTTCATCAGCTGATCGAGTTTGTCCTCGTCACAGAATTGTGCCTGTCCAGAAAGAATTGAAATGTGAGCATTCATTGATCATACAAATTCATGACATATATTATTCACATCATTCATATTTAAAGTATGAGTTTATCATTTAACAATATTAATATTTAAACAACTAGGTACAGCCCAAAAAAAAAGGACCAGCACCTTTCTGATTCACAAAAACAGATGAAGGTACTGTGTCATACTGTGTTTGCTACAAAACTGTGCTGGTTCCAACTCATTACTGGGGAACAAAACTTCAGCTCTGAAGATTAGCTACATCCATTGTTTTCAGCTGTGGCACAGCATGTCCTTCAGCTCAAATGATATTCTTGTCTTTCAGAGCGTAACAGATCCGGAAGCAAGACTCTGAGACGCTGACACCACCAGCTTGCCTGTTTCTGAAGGCAGAATTTCTCTTGAATGTCATTAAAGCAATCACAGACCACTCGGAGATTCAGAATATGGAAAGCAGAAAGGACGTGGAGGACTGTAGATGCTGATATTACATGTTTCCCCACTGACCTTTAATAAGCACCTACACATATTAATGGAAATACTATTGGTTTCTCTCACACACATTTTCACACTCAGTTTCTTGCACTTTCCCTCCTGATTGGGGTTGATAAAGGATCGCTGTGCCATGATACCTCTGAAAGACAAAAAGCCAGATGTGGTGGATTACAGCTGTGCTTGTGCGTCATAGCTAAATGCCAGCAGTCTCTTGAGAGCGGTTTCCTGGAGGGTATTACCACTTGTCTTAGTTTCAGACCGTATGCTAACCCCAGGGGTTGACTGGACTGGGGGAGGCTAATAACCAGCTTTGGTACTGAAGGAATGCAAATGGCTTTAATATTGAAGACTATAGAACATTTTGTACAATAAAATCAGCTGGAACCAAGAGAGAGCCTCAATATGATCACAATTGAGAGTGAGCAAATAGCAAAACTGAAAATCATTGCGGAGACAACCGACTTTAAATTGATAAAATTGTTTGACATGCTGTAGTTGAGTCCAGTATGAAATATCTCGGCAACATTCATGGTCCCCAGAGGATGACTTTGGATATCCCCTAACTTTTCCTACAACACCACTATGAGGTCCATATTTTTGCCATATTTGTTTTCCATCTTTTGAGTGAAATGTCTCAACTAATGGATGGATTGCACGTTCACATTGTACACATATTCATGCCACCCCTCAGGATATATTGTAATAACTTTGGTGCTCCCATAATTTTTTATCTAGAGTCCAATACTTGTCCAATACTTTGTTTTATGACCAAATACCTGTTAAACTAAAATTCCTGTTAGCCTTGTATTTTGTGTTTAGTGCATGGAGGGTTACTTTAAAAATGTAATCTGATACAATTATTCATGCAAAAAAAATAGTTTATAACCTAATCCAAATATCATAATATTCAAGTGATGTAACTTGATTACTTTCCTTTACTTTTGGATTTCCTCAATACATAAATAAAGACAAGAGAAAAGAAAGATGCTGTGTATTCTATAAGACAACAGAGCAATGAAACCTTGAGCAAATGGAAACCAAGAAAACAAGAGAATTTAAGACAAAATAATGGAGAAATTTCCACCCAGAGAAAGTTTTTCTTTTTGCTTTCTCTAGAGGCCATGATAATAAATTAGTGACTGTGAGATTTCACTGGAGATCAGAGTGGTTTTGTGAGACTCATGAAGTGTTGTAATGTGTACACACTGTGCATGTGCATGGTAGTATATCTATTTTATGTTCAAATGTACTTTAAAATTGTAATCCTACTAATAATCCCCATTTTGACTGAATGTAAATGTAATCTGAATATGTTTTTGTTTCTGTACCTGTAATGGTTACATTACATTACATTACATGTAATCTCCCCAAGCCTGATAATCACCAAATGTTAGTGCTAACATTGCAAACCAAGACGACACACCTGCTAAACATGTGTGCTAAACATTTCAGCGTTTAGCTCAGATCACCACTCACTCTGTCAAAGTACAGTGGGTTCATATACATGTGTGCGTCCCTATTTTAAATTCTGGGATTGTACAAAGTGGCCAATTATCTATGCATGAGGCAACCCCTTTACATTATAATGATGCTGTTGGCGAATGCTGCAACAGAACCTTGAGAGAGCAGTCTGAAGTCTGTGCTGCCAGGTTTGGAAAACAAATGTGATGTTGCTTCACTGTTTTCGAAAAACAACTGATTGGCTGATTCACACTGTAATCAGTTTGCTAAATGAGTCAATTCCCCTTTAATTATCGCCAAGCTGCCAGTGACTCAGGTAAATAATGTCTGCCACTGTTTCTTGGCCAAAAGACCTTGTATGTACAGATAACAAAGAATCTGAACCCCTTTATCAAATCTGATGGTCACCATGGCAACACTGGCAACATCCAGGCAGCTCTTGAGGGCTATTAGCAACAAGACGTTTCAGCACAGGGAGATTTTGAGAATTAGATGAGCTGAATGCACATAAAGGAAACCAAGGGTTCATGCTTACAAAATACCATAACATACAGTTTCCTGCATTGCAATTCAAATGCAATCGAATTTCCATTTATTGCATGTTTCATAAATGTGCTCGAGAAGATAGATGTTGCTAGGAATGTATTTGTCAGTTCAGTGCCCTATAAAGTGACTCCATGCCAGCACAATGCTATTACCTCAGAAATCTATGTTGAAATCCTGAACAGAAGGTTCAGTTACATCCTCAGAGGTATGTCAACATGTTTTTTCCCAGAGGTATGAATATATTTTAGATACTCGTGCTATTTCATGCAATTATTGATAGTGCACTAAAAGCAGACAGATTATAGGCATTATGCATCACATCCAAACATGTGGATTTATGAAAGACTGCACGAAAAAGGCCATGCTAATATGAGTTCACATTAAATGGTATTCTGAATAATAATGCAAAAATGCTGAAAGGATATTGTGAAATTGTAATGAATGTCCTTGCAAGGGGAGGTAATAAAACCGAATTGTTCATACAGGAACATTGTACCACATCTTGTTGTCTGCATGACCTTACTTTGTCTTTGCTCAGGTTAGTGCTGTTGCCAGGATACTATTTCCTATGGCAACACTTGAGCCGACGAGGTGAGCAGCTCTGGAAGGATCCAGATAACTGGCTGCTCTGTATCCTGTGGACCGGAAGTCCGTACATGACCATAGAAAAACATGCAACAAAAAAAAAAAAAAAACACCACTCAAAGTTCAGTTTTCTTCATTGCGGCAGTTGATATTTTCTCCCAAACACAACAAAATGTCTTCCTGTGTAATTCAGCTGGATTTCTTGTATCCTCAGAGGTACTTTTACGTTCAAATGTAGCTTCTATCTATCAATTTAAGAACAATTATACTCCCCTCATTACTCTTAGTGTCCATTTTGAAAGACTTATCAGTAATTTTGCCAAGTTATTAGTTCTTTTGCTTTCACAGTTGAGTTATGTGCAGTAAAATCAGCTACCTCTGTGTATTGGAATATTGTAACCTTGTGTTTAATAATGATTATTGCACTGCAATATTCATTGTTCTATATGAAACTCAATTTCCACCCTCATTCAAATGAGAGCAGCACTTGCTGTCGTCCATTACAAGAAGAAGGAATTCTTTTATATGAAAGCTATATGAATGGTAGTTTGTTCCATATTCATTGCAACACATAGCAGATGCTCTCCATCTGCATGAGAGCATACTGCCACCTTTTGTTGCAAAGGTGTTACTACCTCAGTTGTGTAGTTTCCTCTTGCTGGCATGGAAAAGTATTAAATAGTGTCCAAAATGTATCTTCAAGTGTTCAAATCTAACCTGCAACACAAGTAACCTCCAATACTTCCGAAAGAGAACAGAGTGTTTTTCTCATTGACCCTGTTCTTATTTTCTAAGTTGTGTAACTTTTATACCTTCCTTGTCTTTTCTTTCCTCCCTTGCATTTACAAACCAAGGATATTGCATTATAGGACACGGTGAGTCAACAAGTTTGCATACTTTTCTTTTCACAGGAGCTTCCAAATCATCATGGTCATCGCTGAACAGCTTGAAAGGATGCAGCGCGGCGTCATCACGTCAGCACCACGCCTACACTTACTCGTTGACCATCAACTCTGCTGGATTCAGGCGATTAAAGGGGAGTGTCAGGGACGGTGAGCTCATACAACACTGTGCAGGGGATGAGCATTGTCTGCCAGGGAGAACTCTTCATCAGTGGGACTCCATTATGATGACTCATCTGTACTAAACACCCACTGCTTCTCTTTACCGTGCAAAGCTTCCCTTTGTACTGCTGAGTGTGGCTCATCCAGCACTTGAGAGATAAGCACTGGGGCTCATCCTTTTTAGTAATAGGGTCACAACACAGGGATTTCAGAGTGGCGTATGGGCTGCAGACAATTACAAAATATGAGCTTGACATTAATTAGAGATTAAGTAAAAATGACTGAACATAAAGGAAATCTGTCTGTATTTTGTATTGTTGCAAAAAACGTATATTGTATAACTTCTGTATCACTGCATCAGACGGGTTTACAAATATGCATGTGTGCACGTTTTCCCGCTGTTTGCATGGTGCTTAATTTAACTGTTGTTGAGTGAACTCCCAATGTGGATCTATGTGGATCTATGCAGGTTGAAAAGGTTAATGGATTAACCAACTCTCTCATCACAGTTTACATTGTGTCAACTTACTGCAACGTCAGTTCCATACAATTTAGTGCAGTGGGAGAACCATAGCATATAAAGCATATAGATCACTGTATGAAATATTCATACCGTTTGGTTACATAGCAACAAGAAAGGTTTAATAAACTATGGCAGGGTCAATTAAGTCACATTTTATTTTATAGGTCCATGATTTCCTCATAATTCCTGGAAAGATCATTTGTTGCTAATCATGAGGGAAATGAGGGAACAATGCTCAATTAAAACACTTACAATTAATTCTAAATATTGCATGCGTAATGTAATAAAACTCCTATAGTCAGTGCACAGCAGATCAGACGATTTTATTTTTCACAATTTTGTATTATTGACTGGACAAAACAAGCATTGTGAAGGTATCACCTTGAGCTCTGGGAGCTTAATTAATGAAGAAAATAAGAAAATAATAAGCAGATTAATCCATAATGAAGATAATGATTAGTTGCAGTCCCATACAAAACAACTGAAACATTAGCTCCACCTCAACCAACTACAACAGTAAAACCCTGCTTTTACATTAATGCATGAGTAATAATAACCTAATAATGCAATATAGATAGAATGAAATGCATTTTTCTTGAATACATTTACTTTTAATAGCCTACTTTAAGAACATTTCCCTTATACTTTTACTTAAGTAACATTTTAAATGCTAGACTTTTACTAGTAACAGTGTGGTATTAGTACTTTGTACTGTTTCTTCAGCACTGCACATAAGTGGTGCAACCCTCACCCCTCACCGCCTGGTGGCAGCAACAAGTCTTCATGTGCCAGAGGTGCTTGTCACCACGCCCATATGAGGCGTTTACTTCAAATTTCCGCATTATGAGCAAGTAGGTAAAAAACAAAAAACAAATCGGAAAGTTTTTCCTCCCCTGTCGAGGTTACACTTAATAATATCCGAGTAACAATGTCAGGGTTTCTTCTGAGACTAAACCTAAGGAGATGCATCGCCTCTCAGATCAGAATGGCATCTGATCAGGTAACTGTGGTGACAGATGACGGGTTTCAATGTTAGCATTAGCTCGCTAAGCTAAGTTGGAAAGTTATAATTGGGCGAAGCTTAGCGAGGGCTAGCTGGTTGCTAACTTGTGTAGTCAGCTTTTGTGCAAGGTGCATTGGTATAAAATGATTAAATAAAGATGTGTGGACTGCAGCGTGTTTCTTATGTGACGTTAGACATGTTGCTGTGAACCTAAAAGCTTCTGTGTTACTGGATAGCTGCTCTGCTGTTATTTATTGACATTTACTCTGAGATATATGTGGTTTTGGGCCCAAAATAGTTGCAAAATAAATGCCGAACACGAACATATCAGTAGGTTTAAGTAGCATTGACAGTGCAAATGTTTAGGTTGAGATTTTAGCTTTTGCTGTGCTGTTAAAGAGATTGTTTAAGGATTGCATCATATTTTTTTTTCACATCCATACAAATTGAGGAACAATGTCTTAAACTTCTATATCCATAAAAACACAGTCATCAGTTGTTCTGATGGGAACAATACAGAGAAATAAAATGGCTTACTAAAGCAACTACCAATGAAACATCAGTCCAAAATCTTTCAGGAGAGCCAGTATGTAAATAAACAGATGCATTGATTCTATTTTAGGCAAAACAAAATGACAAAACTGTACATTTTGATGCTCTTTCTTGTGTGAATTGTGATATTCCTTCTGCTTATTCCAGCTTGGTGAGTTGGGAAAGGGAGCAGGTAAAGGTGGAGGTGGAGGAGGCTCTGTGAGGGAGGCAGGGGGTGCATTTGGAAAGCGACAAGCAGCACAAGAGGAGCAGTACTTCAGGTGAAAAGCATGCAGTTATATTAGCAATCACACTGTTTGAAGGCTCATTCCTGCAAAGACTTTTTTAACCCAGTGTCTCTTGACTTTTTGTTTCCACCTGCAGGCAGAAGGAGAAGGAGCAGATGGAAGCGCTGAGGAAGCATCATGCAGAGGAGATTGAGCACCACAAAAAGGAGATTGAGCGCCTACAGAAGGAGATTGACCGCCACAAGGGCAAAATCAGAAAGCTGAAACATGATGACTAAAGCTGGGTAGCCTATTATCATTTATCTTCCCGAGAGTCCGCCCATGTTATTTGCCAAGTTAATGATTATCACATTGATTTGACTTACTGGTGTTCAAGGCAGGTCCTGTAGGAGACTTCACACTGACATCATAATATAACAATAAAGTGCTTAATTCTTGAACACGTATGTGACTCATTGTTGATCCCTCTTGTTTGATTGTGCTTTGAATAACTTTTTATATAACAAAGGCATTTTATATACATATGTGTGTGTATATATATAAAACAAAGTGTTTGCAAGAAAAAAATGAGGCTGATCCTGTAGGTAGTTATGTACAAAAAGGTGAATTTCATTGGGTTTAAGTCTTGCCAGTCAAAAGTTCAACCTCAGTGGTTGGATAGTTGAGGGTGAAGCGCTCGTTTTCAATCACTGCGCTGCCCGCTATCTGTCAGTGCTGAAACTGCCTCCAAGTCACGTTTTGCAGGTGGGGCAATTTGGAAAAGAGGAAGGAATATAGGATACACACAGTTAAGGAAGCCATTTCTAAAGCTGACAATTGGTCTTTGATGCGGGGATTTAAATTGTAGAAACTATTGAGAACCTGACTAGACTGGGACATATTAATCCAAGCGGAAACTGTGATGTCTGCAATCAACAAACTGCTCAGGAAAGTCTGTTTTTACAGCAAGTTGTTGTATTTAATATACAGAAAACAAATAGCAAAAATTAAATAACTCTGTAACACTACAGTTGCTGACAACAAAGCTCCGCCCGGTAGCAATTCACCAGAAGCGGCACAATACAACCAAAACGAACACACTCGCCCCACTGCGCGTTTTTTTTTTTTTTTTTTTTGTCCAAATCTCGCGATGTTTGCTGAGCGGTGGCGTTGTTCGGGCGAGCCGACGACGAGACCGTAGCTGTCTGGAAATTTGTCTCGTGTGTTAGATTCAAACGTATTCCTCGTATTAGACCATTTTTGTACGTCCGACAAGTCAATCGGTCCACAATTTTAACACACGTCACTGTTAGTGTCCTGAATTAGACTGGTAAGTTTTGCTAACTGCCTGTTTGCACCCCGCACGGAGCGTGTGTTTGATTTGTGAAAAGGAGTCTCTCTGCACGGCGAGGCCTTCGTGTAAAGCTCGTTAGCCAGCCAGCTAGCCAGCCAGCTAACCAGTATTCCTGTCAGGTCAAGATGAGGGAAAAACGTGGAAACTGTTTTGCTCCTGAAAATTGCAAAAAAAAAACAAAACAAAAAAAAAGCCAAGTGTTTAAATGACATTCGCCCTGTACGACCCGTGCATGTAAATGTGTTAATAAAATGTGTCCGCCTCGCTAGCTAGCAAGATGCATGTGAAGGGGGCGGGACGGCTGTCGGTAGGTTTCTTTAAGTGACAGGGTTGTGTTACTGTACGGTACCTGGACGGTTTCACGTCAGCTCACATTGTCAAACGGGATTTTATAAATGCTCTGTATCATTATTTAGATTTAGATTAGACTAATAGGTTTTAAAGACAGTTACCTGCTTTCAAGTAAAAGCCAGATTACAGTAGCCAATCCCTTTTGAAAACAATCTATATTTTTATAAAGTTACATTAAGACCTTTTGGTTTTACTGTTTTCAATTTCGGATAATGAAATCCCAGTGTTTGTTGATCAATCCTGCTCAAGAAAAATACATTCTTAAGATGAACTCTTACTGAATAACTTGCTTTTCTTGCAATATATTACAGGAGAATGGCGGCCGCTGAGGTGAACGGTAGTTCTGCCCCAGCAAAGGAGGAGGAAGAGCCCATGGATGTGACAACAACACACACAGAGAACTACCAGACGCTCATTGATGCTGGGCTGCCCCAGAAAGTGGCTGAAAGTCTAGATAACATCTTCCAGACCGGTGGGTGATAGTTGTTTTTGCTCATACAGCTATGAAATGTCATATTAAGAAGCTGTGCTTGAGTACTAAATATGTCTTTGTCACTGATGGTGAACATGTTTTGTAATCGCAGGCTTGGTGGCGTATGTTGACCTAGACGAAAGGGCCATCGATGCACTCCGGGAGTTCAATGAGGAGGGAGCGCTTACTGTGCTGCAGCAATTCAAAGAGAGTGATCTGTCTCATGTACAGGTAACCACGTGGATTGATTACATCCCTTTTTGTCTTTGAGAAGAGTTCCTATACGTTGTTGTAAATAACGATATCTCATTTGTTTTTAACCTAGAATAAAAGTGCTTTCCTTTGTGGAGTCATGAAGACTTACAGGCAGAGAGAAAAACAAGGAAGTAAAGTACAGGAGTCCACAAAGGGCCCAGACGAGGCGAAAATAAAGGTAAACATTCATGTGGCTTTGTTGTATAGGAGCTCAGAATGATTGTCACCTAAAAAATGCCTCTGCAGCCATGTAGCTCAGTTAATGTTTTGTTTGTTGTGTTTTTCAGTCTCTATTGGAGCGGACAGGATACACCCTGGATGTCACTACAGGTCAGAGGAAATATGGAGGCCCCCCACCTGAGGATGTGTTCAAAGGAACACAGCCAGGGATTGGAACTGAGGTAGATAAGTTTTGTTTTCCTGGTCATTATTCTCAAGGCTCTGTTATATTTGGGGTGAGAAATTATAGGCCTGTGTTGCAGTTTCATTCATAAAGAATCCCAAATATAATGCTGTATATTGCGCTTTACATATCCTTACACTTGTCCACCTCTTTCTTTCTTTCTCATCAGGTGTTTGTCGGAAAAATCCCAAGGGATTTGTACGAAGATGAGCTGGTGCCGCTCTTTGAGTCAGCTGGTCCCATCTGGGACCTCAGGTTAATGATGGACCCTCTCTCTGGTCAGAATAGAGGTTACGCCTTCATCACATACTGCAATAAGGATGATGCCCAAAAAGCTGTGAAGCTTGTAAGTAGAATGGCAGGGTATCAGAAGAAACCTATTAAACCATATAAGAATTCAACATTTATGTGTTATTGTCTGGAGTATTACTTAAAAAAAAGACTTCAGGCTTCAAATCTGTTAATGTTTTACATTGCTGTTCTTTTACAATGTATTTCACAAACTTTTTGGCCTGTATTTTCAGTGTGATAACCATGAAATCCGCCCCGGCAAGTACTTGGGAGTGTGCATATCTGTTGCAAACAATCGCCTGTTTGTCGGATCAATTCCAAAGAACAAGACAAGAGAAAGTATATTGGAAGACTTTGGCAAAGTTACAGGTCAGTTTTAAAAGCACAGAGGTGAATTTGTGTCAGAAACTCTCCAAAACAAATCCACAGTCAGTTACGTTATTGTTTTATCTTGCAGAGGGTCTCCAAGAGGTGATATTGTACCACCAGCCAGATGACAAGAAAAAGAACCGTGGCTTCTGTTTCCTGGAATACGAGGACCACAAGTCTGCAGCACAAGCTCGCCGCCGCCTAATGAGTGGCAAAGTCAAGGTGTGGGGGAACCCAGTCACTGTAGAGTGGGCTGACCCTGTCGCCGAGCCAGACCCGGAGGTCATGGCCAAGGTTAGTTAGTCTCGTGTCTTCCTCTGCAAAACACAAGCATGCTCTGTTCTACAGAGTAACAAACATCCTGGTTTCTGTCTTCATAGGTCAAGGTGCTCTTTGTGAGGAAGCTGGCCACAGCAGTGACCGAAGAGCTTCTTGAGAAAACTTTCTCTCAGTTTGGAAAGCTGGAGCGAGTGAAGAAATTGAAAGACTATGCTTTTGTCCATTTTGAAGAAAGGGATGCGGCCGTAAAGGTGGGTTTTTCATGATTTGGACGAGGTATTTTTGCACGTCTGATGATTCTACGTACGTTACTGTAAAGCGTTGTTTTGTTTGGTCAGGCAATGGATGAGATGAATGGGAAGGAGTTGGGAGGAGAGGAAATTGAGATCGTTCTGGCAAAGCCGCCAGACAAGAAGAGGAAAGAGCGCCAAGCAGCTCGGCAGACCACCAGGAATGCAGGGTGAGGGACAGAGACACGTGACTGGTCCACTGCCAGGCTTATTTTCCCCTGAGGAGGTCATTACATGTAACACTATCCTCCCCTCTGCAGGTATGATGACTACTACTACTACCCACCTCCACGCATGCCCCCACCAGGCCGAGGCAGGGGTCGTGGTGGCCGAGGGGGCTATGCCTATCCACCAGATTACTATGGATATGAAGACTACTATGATGACTACTATGGCTACGACTATCATGACTACCGTGGTGGCTATGAAGACCCTTACTACGGCTACGAAGATGTGTATAGCATGAGGGGCCGAGGCACTCGTCCCAGCAGGGGGGGGCCTCCTCCACCTAGGGCTCGTGGGGCGCCACCGGCACGAGGCCGGGGCGGCTATGCCCAAAGAGGGCCGCCCCTCGGTGGTCCGAGGGGCGGCCGAGGAGGGCGGGGAGCCCCTTTCCAGCCACAGAGGGGCCGAGGTCCTCGCGGGGCCAGGGGCAATCGTGGGGGTAACGTCGGCGGAAAGAGGAAGGCAGACGTGTTTAACCAGCCTGACTCCAAGCGCCGCCAGACCAACAACCAGCAGAACTGGGGGTCCCAGCCCATCGCCCAGCAGCCCCTGCAGCAAGGGGCCGACTATTCCGGTAACTATGGTTACAGTAATGACACCATGGAGTTTTCACAGGATTCTTATGGGCAGCAGTGGAAGTAGGTGCACCAAAAGGTATTTGGCAAAGTGACAACAAAAAAAGAGAAAAACAACAATAAAACGAGAAAAAAAAAAAAAACAGGAGATTGGCCACAATTTTTTGATTGACTTTTTATTCTTCATCCCTCATGAAAATATAAATCTGTATATATCTCAGAAAAAATGGACAGACCCCAGAATTGGCTCGAGATGATTGGCTGGAAAGCCTTTTGGCTGAAGAAGTGAACGTAACCGTTGTGGTGAATCATTTCTTACTCCTACGGTTACATTGGGACATGTGTCTTTAAAAAAAAAAAACACTCAAAATACTTTTATTGTTACGTTTTGTTCCTGATTCTTTTAAAGCCAACAATGAACATTTACAAAAAAAATGGACATTCATTCTCAAAAGTCTGAGAGGACATTAAATAATGATATTTGCCTTGCAGGAAGTTTTTGTCCATGCCCCTTTCCTCCCTCCCCTTCTTGTACTCCCTTTATTTGTGGTTTCTCATAGTTGCTTAGGGATTTGCTTGTAAATAAATGCATATGGTTAGAGCTTCATACTTCATTTTTTGCAATGGTGGAGAAAAGAATCCACAGGAAGGAAGAAATCAAAGTTTTGTAATGTTCAAAGTGTATGCCTAGCATTTCTAGAGTTAGACAAATTGTGTTTTTTTAAAACTGATACCATAACTTTCTATGTTTTCTTTGAACTTGCCCAATAGAATTTGGTTTGGCTTACCTTAAGAGCCATAGCAGTTTGTTCTCTGATGTTCTTTGTATTTATAACTTTTACGTTTGTTCCGTTTCAATAAAACTCAGCTGAGCATCAGTCAATTGTCAGATACTCAAATTCAGTGTTGTCATTCAGTATTTGATTTGATTTTTATCTCAAATTCTCTTATTTGGATGAAGATCTTCTTTTCCAAGTCAAATATTTTGCCTCAAAGGATAATCGCAAAAGACTGAAATTGTGCAATCAGACAACGGGGCAAGAGAATTTGAAATGTGTTTGAATGATAAAATGATTTAACAGGATTTTAACCCTTTATTTTTCAGTGCATGTTACATCAGACTACAGTCACTTCCTGCACTCAGAATTTATATAGTAACTATCAGCAATACCAACAACTATTAAAGGACCACACTGTTATTTTGACCTCTTGCGATTACTCAAGATTGAACCCATCTTTCAGAATTTGTGTGCAAAGGTAAACAGTGTATGCTTTAGTAAATTCCATTGTCCATTCATCAGGACAAGGAAAACATTGAGTGCTTTGTATAGGTCATTTATCTTTATGAAAATTGTGGATGCTTAATGAACTATTACTGAAGATTCACTGAAATTATTAATGTAGTGCACTCCTTTACTTTACAGTTCTCCTCATGTGGTTCCTGTCTATATTGCTACCTCTTCTCTCGTAGCATATCTGCATTTCAGAGCCAGCCAGAGAAAATGTTTTAAGACACAACCAAGGAAATGCATAATAATGCAATACAAAATGTAACAGAAGTAAGTTTTAACAGGTGTAAATGTCCTGTGCCTTCCCACTCCTGTTCTGAGTTTAACCACTTTTTTTAAACAAAAACTGTTTATTTAAACAGGTTGACATCTACTGAAGCATATACTGTGTACACCTGTTCACACACTCTTTAAATTCAAGACAATCTTGGATAATGGTGAGATGTCACTTGCACTGGTATGGTCCTGATACTGACGCCCTTACAACAGTTAGAACTACGCATTTGACTTTGAATGGATTTGTGCTTGTATTGCCAAGTTGTCTCCAATTCATTTTTTTTTTATTTCCAAAATCTGCACATCATCTCAACCATCTGTTTGAAGACACCAAGGATCTGACCATCCAAAGGGTTAAAATTCTTAAAACTGCCATAGAAAATGAGTTTGTTAACCATAGAAAAGTGTTATTAGATACCATGGTATCATTGCATTTTGTTTCATGGTGTCTGTCCTCTTATTCCAACCTACCTAGGTGGAGAAGCATTGAGAGCGGCACCACTAGAATGAGGAACTCACCTGAACGGTACTCAAGGGTGAGCTAGCCTTGCACAGAGTACTGTCTCCTCTCCTTTAGCTAATTGTAATCACTGGAGAAACACTAGCCATAATTACACTTATGTTCTTTTTATTGTTTCCTTACTAATAATACTTTACAACAAATCAAGCTTTTTTTTTTTTTTTTTTTTTTTTAAATTCAGTAGGAAGTGTGATTTTTATTTTTTTTCTCCCAGGCTATGAAGAACACAAGTCTCTAAAGTTGACTGAAGACTCATTGGAAATATTAAAATTAATTGTGTTACCAGCATGTTTCTGGAGTTTAGAGGACACATGAGCAGTGCCTATTTCCTTCACAGATGCAGTGCATATTTTTCCCCTTCAGCCAAATGAAAAGTCATGCCCAATTTTAAGAGCCAAATGGCTTTCTTAAGTCTGGATTAAACAGCCACAAGGCAGACAGCCAAGGATTTGGTAAGCGCTATAAATCTCAAAACCCTACAAACACCTGTTGCCTGTCCTGGCTTACTGCACCAAAATCACCTCAGCTGTCTGCACACACATTCTGTGAATTAAGGGGTGGTGGTGGTGGTGGACATTTACCCTGCTACGCCGCTAGAGGTAGCAGTTCCACACCAGCACGACTAGTGGTCCATTGTTCCTTTATCCGACACTGCATTTATTGGCCATTTTCTGAGCTGGAGAGGCGTTAATTAATAGGTAGATATTCGACTACGGGAGCTGTTTTTCAAATGTATTCAAATAGCAGTGGAGATACTCGGTTAAATGTTGTTAAAATTGGCTGATGTTGGAACAATGGCTGTGCCTCAGGACTGATGTCTGTACCCTTCAACGCCACAAGATGGCAGTAGATTGGCTACAGTATTTATATTGCACAGGTAAGACTGAACTAGGTGACACAGTATTACAGCAGGAAGCTAATTGTATCAATTTACACACATATTCTGGTTTGCATTGAAGTGCCATCAAATGCTGGAGTGTCCTTTACAGTTTCTCATGTCAGAACTGTGTCTTTATATGTTGCCTCTTGTCAGCAGGCAGTAAAGGAGCTGCCCCCCATCCATGTGAATGAGTTCACACTAATGGAAGGGACTGATTGGTAAGATTGTTCATTATCTGAATTAATGCTCAGAAAGTCTCAACATGTTTGTATTTTTACTTTTTGTTATATTGTGAAACAATGATGTCCTAGTTTTCTCTTTATGACCTCTTCCAAGAGTCAGTAAGTTCTGTACGTTGTTTTTTCAGAATATTAACTGGGCGTCAAGTCAGGAATACATTTATATACACACATATTTATATTAGTTGTTATAGATAAATTGCATCATATTAGAGACAATGCAGTCTGTTTTCTGGTCATGTTGGTGTTGATGGTCATTCTGATGCCAAGATTTGTTAACATGCCCTCGTCTGTGTGGCCCCTTTTTTTTTTTCCCCCTAGCTCTGACTGCGGAGACGGTTCTCCACAAGCTGCGAGCCAGATCCATCACTGTGTTTCACATCCCTCAGAATGACCTACTTACTGGACCTTACACTTGAGGTCCAGGACTCATGGGACCACTAGCTGGCTACCCTGTTTACATCTCAGTAGAAGGCACAGGTGAGAAATAAGTGGATTAGTGCAGCTCCAGTGAGTTTATCATTGAGGATGGGGGGGTTAATAAGGTTATAACTTGTCTCATGAGGTGTGAAGAGAGTGCATTTACAACACTTCCTATGTAGTACATTAATCTTAATAAATGTCTATATTCTAATGTTTAATATCTTTTTATTTTTCACTTACTGCAGAAGCGTAGGAAGATACAGTTGATGGATGATCCAGAGCTCCATCCAGCAGACTGCTGCTTCCTTATCCAGCTTAAAAGAATTATGACTGTAAAGGGAACTGGTCTGTTGCTCTTGATTGTTCAATACATTTTATTACCCAAGTAAATGTGTGTGTGTGTGTATTTATATTTACAGTTTCTTTAACTACTTTTTATATTATCACGTTTGTAAACACCACTTCAGTTAATGATATCTTGTCAGCACATGTGCACTACTTCTACTTGAAACTGAATTATGTTCACTGTGAAGTTCAGTAGTGGGTCCTGAAGTCAATGATTACAACATATTGCTTGTTGTAAACTTGACCAGTCAGACAGATGGGAATGGGGGTGGGCCTGTAAACATAATGGGCGGACCAGTGTGACCCGTCAGTGACCAACCCTGTTGACAATACTCGCCCCCTCCTGCCTCATCGTGGTTAAATTACAACTCTGTGGATGCAGGTGGATGTCTTTAATTGGAAGAGCGGGAGTTGCAAGCCTAAAAACTGAAATTAAATTTGGTAATTTGAATTAGAAATCCTGGTTTTGTCGGCCATCGGGGTAAAATGAATTAACAAGCAGCTGATCAGGCTACGATACATTGCCGGGTGGCTGGAGAGCTTTGCCTGAGCGACATAAAGAAGTTGGATTTACTAATAAATAATCTTAACATCATGCATGCAGAGAACCTGGTTGCTATAGGGCTGTTAGCTGCTGCTGCTAGTTGTAATTATATGCCAGATAAAACCCAATGTAAAGCTCTCTAAATGAAACGTTTAGATCTAAATAACAATATGTAAACTTGTTACCTAAACTTAAATTCAATAATTATTATTATTGCAGTCATATTGTGCATGACAACGCGTAACAGTCTGCGTTTTTCTCTTATTTAAAATGATTTTATAAAATAGCAAGAGCCGTGCGGAAGTCGGAGCGGAAGTGTATTATCTTTTTTTTCCTGGCTTTTCAAAATAAGGCAAGCTATGTTTTCAATTGAGAAAATAATAAATACGTCTCCTACTTTTACAAATTATTTTTTATATTTTGTGTCCGTATTACACACCATTTTAATTTATTCATGTATTTTAGCACTTACACTAACACAACCTTGCTTTACTTCGATTCCAGATTACATGTTTAAAAAAAAAAAAAGCTTTTATCACACGGAGGACGCGCTGATAAATGTAGTTAAAGAACTAGAGCCCTTTAAAATATAAGATTTAATTATATTTTAATGGCTCCGTAAAACAACCCCTCGCATTAAGGTTAACTGTGTGGTCACGTGGTGCCACTACGTCACATGTAAACCAGGGGGAAGATGGCGGCCGCCGGAGGAGAGCCTTCTTCTCACAATATGTCGGATGAATTATTTCAAACTTTTATCTCGGAGGTACGATTAAATTTACGTGAGATACTGTGATTTGAAAGTGTCAGTCGCACTCTGTACGTCGGCTCTAGTCGCTCGTTCGGCGGTGGTCGTGTTTATTATCTACGAGGCCTGGCAGACATGAGCATCAGCTAACGACAAGAAGCTAACGTCTGCTGAGGTGTTTTATGAGCAGCTATGTCCCTCTGGTGTTCTCAGGACACCACCATGGGTCGTCTGTGGGTTTGGTGTCCCTTTCTCTACTACTGCAAGTCACCTAAAGTAAACCACAGTCGGATAAGTATGAGTTATTCTCAGGGCTGCTGCCTTCTGTGTACCATCTCTTAGCAATCGCAGTGCAGTCACACAAGTCCCAGAAACTGCAGAGGAAACCTTCACTTTCACCACATTTTACTCACCAGAAAAGGGCAGTTTCAGGTGGACTTTCGCAGTTTGACTTTGGTGGTGTTCTGATAGTTTTCATTATGTGACTGACAGGTGAAGCAGATTGAGAAGAGAGACTCTGTGTTCACCTCCAAGCAGCAGATTGACAGACTGCTCAGACCTGGCTCATCCTACTTCAATCTCAATCCCTTTGAGGTAAGTGTACTGATTAGGTGTTTTCATCTTTAACCGTGTGTATCCAGCAGTGTGTGTGTGTGTGTGTGTATATATATATACTACTACATACATAATAACTCAAATACATGCATACATGTATGAATTGTGTTGTCAGTCATTAAATGTCAATTTACTATTCTACGCCAAGAAGTAAAAGTGATTGTGGCAAACAGGCAAACAAACCCAAACATCGATTTATAATGACATTAAATGGTTTAAAACTAACAACACATCTTGGAAGTTTTAAAGACATATTTGGTTGCTGCACTTAATGAATGAGTAAATGATTGATCAATGTAATAGAACAAAATTCTGTGAAGTCAAATTTCTAAATTAAAGGTCCAGTGTGAAACATTTAGGAGGCTTTATTGTCAGAAATATAATATTCATAGGTATGTTTTTATTAGAGTATAATCACCTGGATATAAGAATTATGTTTTTGTTACCTTTAGCCACCATGTTTAACCATCATGTTCCTACAGTGGCCCAGAAGGGACAAACCAAACACTGGCTCTAGATAGGGATGATTGTGCGTTTTGCTGCCACCGTAGTTTCTCTTTCGTGTTTGGTATATTTTCTGGAAGCATCTACACTGCTAGGTGCCACTAAATCCTACACACTGTGTAGTTTTTTAATTGGTTAAAAACTTCTAACTTCAACACTAGTGTTTTCTCTTACATAATAGTTCCACTGTCTGTATTTCCTAAAAACAGAATCAGATAGAAAGGGAGGCACTCCACAGGTCAAAAACAGCAAAAGAATTACCCTGTGTTGATCTTTTTTAGGTGAATTTTATTTACAATCAATAGACTGACCAATCTGCTGATCAGAGCATTATAACGTTGCCACCATTTCTCTCCTAACGATTGGAATTCAGCATAATAATTATCTTGTATTGACACTTTGGTTGAGATACTTATGTATAAAACAAACCTACCAATGTTCACATTCGTTTCAGGTGCTGCAAATTGATCCAGAAGCCACAGATGATGAATTAAAGAAAAGATTTCGGGCGGTAAGCTAAAAATCACTTGCCTGTGGACATTGTGATTGTGAAATGATGTTTGTTTTTTTCCTTAATTTCTAATATTAAGTCTCTTTACCTGTGCAGTTGTCCATTTTGGTCCATCCAGACAAAAATCAGGGTGATCCAGATAGAGCTCAGAAAGCCTTTGAAGGTAAATTCCTTACATTCTTGATTACATTCAAGTTGTAAATATACACTGGATATCATTCAATTGATTTACTTGTATCGTGTTGCCTAGTTTGTGGTTTCATATAATGGCAGCAAACAAAGTTAAATAGTATATTCAGCTCCTGCCTTTGTGCATGTGGTCATTAGATGAAAAAGAAACACGTACAAGTTTAATTTCACCTGAATATCTCACTGTATTCTAGCTGTGGACAAGGCATACAAACTCCTACTGGAACCGGAACAGAAGAAGAGAGCCTTAGATGTGATCCATGCAGGAAAAGAATATGTGGAGCATATGGTGAGTGTTCAACACGTTCCTTTACATTTCAAATAATCCTCCCTCTTACTCAACTCTCCTGATTTGTATTTGTTTGGTAACATTTTATTTTGTCCGATTCTGTGCTCCCATCAGGTGAAGGAGAAAAAGAAACAGTTGAAGAAGGATGGGAAATCAATGGATGTGGAGGAGGATGACCCTGAAGTGGTAAGTCAAAGTCATAGAAATACATTCTGGGAGAAGTGTTGAAAGTAAAATTAAAATCTGATTGAAATCAAGATTACACTATTGGGTCATTTAAAGGAGAAATATTATTTTAATATTATAAATTCCGTCAAGCTATAGTAATTGTTATTAAATTAAATTATTAAAGATTGTCTTTTTATTTAAACAGCACATTTTATGTTTGATTATTTTAGAAAGTAGAATAGTGGAGTTTCATGTTAATCAAGCTAATATTTGTCCTGTTCATTACTATATATGATTTTACTTGTCGTTTCCAGTTCAGGCAAGCAGTGTACAAACAGACCATGAAGCTGTTCGCAGAGCTTGAAATCAAGAGGAAGGAAAGGGAAGCAAAGGACATGCATGAAAGGTAAAGACACGCAGTATATCTACAATCTGGTTTTTGTAAAAAATATATAAAATGTAATGTGAACAAATGTAATAAAACGTGTTAACCTGCCACCCCTTTTATTTAAATGTCCAAATAATGTAAATGGTGATATTTGATCCAAATGTTAGTTTTTAATTAGTGAAACACAAAAGAATATCTTCATTCAGAATTCCATGGATTTCTTATTTTCTTCTTCACGTCATTTACCAGAAAAAGGGCAAGAGAAGAAGAAATCGAAGCAGCAGAGAAAGCCAAGCGAGAGAGAGAGTGGCAGAAGAATTTTGAGGTGCGGTCCTCCATGATTGTGGTTACTTGCTTATAAATGGAAACATGATGACTTTGGATTTGGCATTTCTAAAATGACCATTTTTTTGGTAACACTTGTCAGGAAACAAGGGATGGGCGTGTGGACAGTTGGAGGACCTTCCAGGCCAAAGGCAAGAAGAGCAAGGAGAAAAAGAACAGGTCCTTCCTCAAGCCCCCAAAAGTCAAGATGGAACAGAGGGAATGATGATGTAAAATTGAGACTTTATTAGATTTAACTCACTGTTATAAAACCCCCCAGTTCTGTGTAACCTCACCCCGTCGTCTGCAGTCAGCTGTGTAGTCGTCATCACACAGTCATCGGGATACTCGTACAACTACTTCCTCATCCTGACCCTGACAAACGTAGTTTTGTACTTGGTTTTTCTAATGTACATATTTGTGATCTGGACCCAGAGATCATACCTGCCTCATGTAAGAAAAGAAATGATACATCTTCCACTTCTGTAACTGATGAGAAAAATGTGGTGTCATTATTTTTGTTCTTTTTTTTAACTAAATAAAGCTTGGTCTTAACAAGCGTACCATACGGTAGTCCACAAAGCTGAGTGTAAAATGTGCAGGAGAGTTAAATAACAAGGCTTGGAGGGGGAATATCTGAAGATATGTGGCATTATTGTTTTTGTTTTCAATCTAGTTGTCGTTATAGATCACTTGACAAGCGAATACAATACTGACAGGATTTACACACAGCACCTTTTTAAAAAAAAAAAAAAAAGATTCTGAGCAAAACAAACATTTCTGGAACATCCACAGAAATACTTAGCATTTTGTTTTACGTCTGCAGAACAAATGCAGATTTTGCATTTAGTGTCTCAATACCACTCATTAGTTCTGCATGTCCTAAATGTATTCCTTAAAATACTGTGAATAAAAACACCTAACTGGTGTTTGTTGCACATGCTATTTATGTTTTGAAAAAAAAAAAAGTAAATCCCTTTAGATTTCAAATAATTCCACAAAATGAAACCAGCTCAGGAGTGTGAACACTGGATGAATAAAATTGAAGTCATACAAGGACTACTTGTTGGTAGAGATTTGTTTTATAACCATATTTCACAAAAACAGCAGATAAGGAGACAGAAATTGTGCAAAGGTTGATACAGTATAATCTGTAAAATATAAGCAAGGAATCAAGAAAGAGCAACATTAACTTTGCTAAAAAAAATAAAAATCTAAATACAGTATAATCCAAGTTTATCTTCCCCACTTTTCTTGGGTTCTAAGGCTGCGTGAGCCTCTGTTTTATTTTCAACTCGAGTCATGCTTCTCTCCACGAGCCCTTTCATCCTTCAAGTCTTGCTCAAGAGGATCACTTAAACAGTCCGATTTGTCCTTTAAGTGTTGGGTGTCACATGACTTTGCACTGATCTCCTCCACCTGCAGAAGCAGACATTGCAGGAGATCCATTACCGCTTCCCATCAGTCCATCCAGACTGAGGCCTTGGAAGGCTCCGAAGAAGGACTCATCCTTCACTGGGGCTCGTTTTCTGGAGGCAGTGTTCTGCTGCACGTGGAAAAGAGGGTGAAGATTGTTATATTTGTATATGGACAAGCAACAACAACAACAAAAAAACCCCACACATTTATGTTGCTACTTTGATTTTACTGCTCACTTACCCGTGGGAGGCAGTGGTGGCTCCTGAAGTGAGTTTTTTTGACCGTCCTCTCTGCGTTCTTCTTCGCTACCACAGCTTGCTGCCGTTTCCTTTGGCAAACACCACAGAAGCTACATTAGGGCACTGCACATGGGGCAAGCAGCTTATTCATGTGAGGAACAGCCTTATCCTTCTTCTTATCCTAAGCCAACACAGCCTGGCCAAAAGTCTCAGCTGGATAATGAGACAGTAACTGGATACTTTGATTTCTTATTGGAAAACAAGTTCATATCACTATAAAGAGACTGGAATGCCTGTTTTAGAGCTGACTGTACAAAAACATCAGATTTGATTATTTCCCATGATATGTACAGATCTTATGCGCCACCATACCTTTCTCTCTTCAGCTCATCCTGGTACATTCTGAGCCAGGAGTCTGGGACTTTCTGGCTGTTGCAAGGAAGGCTTCTCCTCCTGCTGACACTCTTCCTGCGGGTGAAGCTGCTCCGGCGGACAGATTGGCTTTTTTTGTTCCCCATTTTGGTGGCGGCGGCAGATTTTCCAGACACGCAGCTGGCGGTGAACTGCTTCAGGGGAGCACCGAGCGACATGAGAGAATCCATTTCTAAGAGTTGTCTCGTGCTGGTGGTGTCTGTGGTGAATCAGGTGGTGTTTCCCGCGGTCTGTGACAGCATACAGTATAATACGCCGATGTCTTGACTCTAAGGACCAAAGTCAGCGTTCTTCTGCTTTTAATTTACACCAGGAATGAGGCTTTTATCTGCAAAAACAAAGCAGAACATATACGTCAACTAAGAATATCAGCTTTTATTAACAGCATTATTGTCTTATTATTGCCTTCTTTCCAGAAAAGGCACCTGAACACACCATCTACCTAAATTAACAGAACATTTCAATTCTTTTTAGTCTTATACACACTTGTTTCTAAGGTTGTCACATTTTAAAAGTGCAAATAGACATAATATACTGCCATTAGTAAAGAAATAATGGGACTCACCTGTGTGTTATCTTCTATGGACACAATCTGCTGATAGTAAATCTGGAAAAGATAGAGTCCATTTGTTGCACCGCTTCCAGTCCTTCAGTTTGTGTACCTGTATGCAGCTCTGCTCTGTCACTGTCTGCTCTTATGGGGATTTGACTGATGACCTCAAACAGGATTAGCTGAACATATAAGAGTTAATCCCATTAACAACAGAGCAGTTCCAAACAAACCTGCATAGGAAAACAGCTGCTTGTTTACACCTGAGAACTGAAATAGCCAATGTAGACATACGGTTACAGAGAGACTTCAAATAGTCTGGCTGTACTTTGTTAAAACAAGGTCACATTCTCATTTTCAGCAGGAAACGCCTGCATAGGTTAAGTTACAGCTGATGAGATCATTTGGTGATATAGTTGGTGAGAGAGGCCAGATAGATGGAGCGTGTAAGGTGGAAGGTGACGTTTTTCGATGACGCAAGGAGGATTTCATCCTAGCTCCCAAAGACAGGACAACAGCTTCACTGACTGGAGCCATTAAGCCCCTGAGTCACAAAGATGAATGAATCATTTCATTCATCAATTCACTCACTCACTGAACTCCGAAAGGTCTATGTCTAGAGAGCTAAGACTCCAAATCCATCCACACCTGCACAAATTACTTGTTGCTTCAGGAGGCAACAATTTGAAATCAAAAACTATGTATTCCAATATTAATAACTTCAAATTAGAATTTGCAAATTTTAAATTTACAACAAAAATACAGCACTGACATTTTCTGACGTGGAATGTATAAGTCAAACAACAACCTTAGTACTCATGATATCTGCTCATATATCATTTCCTCTGACCATGCGACAGGATGGGATCAAGGTTGAATTACCAACCAAGCAAAGTGGGTAACTGACCCAATGTGACCCAAGCCTCTAACCTCCAGGGGGGGGCAAGGGTCCAAGCATCTGCGTGTGTCAATTTAAGCACCCTTTTAACTGCCTAGACTATGTTTTAGTCTTGAGTTCTGTTGTGTGGCAAGGATCTTTGCGTTATATATTTGGGTGTAGATCCCCATAACGGAATAATCTATTCATTCACAGGACAGAAGTGAGGCGACAAAAATGGGGACAGTGCATGAGGTTAATAAAGCAATGTTACCGACAGATGGGGGAAGCTTACGTGACGAAGCTTCATTACACCTGTTGCAGCAGATCTTCGGTGGTTCCCTCTCTTCCTGTCTCGACAGGTGACAGCTGAGCTTAGGAAATAAAAGAGATTAGTTTCCAAGAAAATGCAACTAGCAACACTTGAAGGGTAATAGCAAATATGCAATACCTGTACATGACTGCCTAGAGGAAAAGCTGTTTTACAATTAAAACTTAAACTGAGCCTGAGCTACTGTCTAGAAAAGCAACGAGGAAAGAGCAAGTAAGCAGTTAACTTTAAATAGAACAATGCAAACACGTTCAGCCTTCACTTACACATTTCAGACACCCCTCTGATGTTTTTTTTTTTTCATCCAGCAGTGGCATTAGTCAGTGAGGGAAGAGATGGACTCAGACACAGTGATGGTATTTAAAGACAGAACGCCTCCCTTTTGCTACCAGAGGCCAAAACTGATACTGAGAGCACCATAAGCCTTTGGCAAGGAGGACTTAACTTTAATTCTACACAATAATACATATATACAGTTTTATACGCTTTAATTTCATACAAAAAAAACAAGTCATGTACAGGTGGGGGGTGGAGACTATGACCTATTGGAACTTAAAATAAATACTGTCAACAGGAGTTGTGTGTGGCTCATTGGCAACCACCACAAGCTGTGTGCTTAACCTCAATGGAGAGACTTCAGGTCTGACCATATCACACATGGGAAAGGCAGTTTATCTTTTTTGTGTTTTAAAAGTATGTCAGAATGCTCCCATGACTAATGTTGAACTACTAAGAAGCCACTGAGAAAAACATTAAGATGAACGTGTCACCCACACCATCCCACCCCTACACACGCACACACACACACACACACACACACACACACACACACTCACTCACACACACACACACACACACACCCAGAAAGCATTGCATAACATAACAAACATATCTATCAATAAGACAGGCCCGAGGCCCTTGTGTGGAGTGTCCATCACCATTATCATCTCATTGGCGAATAATAACAGGTCTAACGACCGGATATTAAGGGAAAGAGTCTCCATATAAGGGATAATCCTTTTATACATAAAAAAAAAAAAACATATGCAATGCAAGTGCTCACTTAACAAAAACGTAAACAAAAACTTGAGACACTTGTCTCTGCTGGAGATATTAGCAATTTCCACAGAAATGTGATATTCAATCTGAATGATCTAATGTTAGCGTAATAGAATATCTTGCATGACTCCACGTTTAGAATTATGAGTGTGAGGACTTCCGCTGCATATACAGCTCTATCTCCTTTTTACCCTTTCCTTCGACTTCAGAATCGGAAGACATTTCTTCTACAAAACTGAGTTACTGTATAACTGATTTTGTAGTGCTTATTTCCTTAGAAAGGTGAATTACTTTCTTTACATGCTGATGAAAACAATAGATGGACGGATGGAAGAGAAGAAGGTGGTTCCGAAGTCAAAAGGAAGACAGGAGCTGCATAGAGGGCTACTTTTGAGGCTGTGGCTGCTAGAAAAGATTCATTTTGACTCCTTTCCAGTCTTTTGTTGATTATTTTGGTCTCTCTGCTGCAGGAACATGCCTCTTGTGGCTGCAGAGGTGGATGTCGGGGGGGGGCAGGGTGGAGGAGCAAGAAGTTAAGGTGTCCATGCTTTAATGACAAACGACAGAACATCTGAAGCCCCGATTTATTCAACAGTTCACCTGCTCCACATATGAAAGACTTGATATCCTCTGTTATTCAGTCTTTGGAGGCTTGCGGGTCACCGGCTGATGTCCCGGTTGCCCTCCCAGTTCTTGCTGCCCGCTGCCTCGCCACTGCTCCCATTCTCAAAGAAAGGGTGTTTGAGGGAGTCGGCCAGCACCAGCCTCTTGGAGGGCTCGTACTCCAACATGCTTTCAATGAGGTCAAACAACTGGTGGTGTTCCTCCGCCTCCGACAATAAGTACCGCTGACAGGGAGAAAGGGAAAAAAGAAAGAGATTAAGAGGAATACTGAGAGACTGTCAAGGGGGGGACATCAATACAAAACAAAATACACTTTTGTTCATTCAGCTGTCTTCCACTTCCCATCCACCCCTCTTACCCGTAAAGGTTTGCAGTTTTCTCTGACATATTTCCCTGCTGAGGAGCTCTCATCCCAGTCCAGACGGCCACGATAGAAATACTTCTGCTTCCTGAGAGGGTACAGAGATCAGCGTGAGATGTGTGCGAATGTTGGTTTCTATATAAAAACGTATATATTTATGAGTGATGGTGTGTGTTCTCTTTACTCACCTCGTCTTACGAATCATCCGAGAGGGCACTGGTCCCAGGATTCTCTCCATCATGGCCAGATGCTCCCTGTTGTCATGAGTCTGGAAGAAATAGGAGTTCGACAACCATGACTCAGCAAGAAACAGCACACAAACCCTACATTTTCTTAAAGGTGATACATGAAAGCATCACCTCTGAGACAAGGATGGCAATGAGAATTTTTTTTTGTATATTAATTTTGGTACTGCTACTTTGTTTTAGACATTATTGTCCGTTTTATGTCCTGTTTCGGTGCTATTGGGAAGGGTCTGGGAAAGTGGGGTGGGGGGTGGGAGACATTGTTTGTGCTCGTCATGTGTACTGATAAAAGAAAACTAATAACAGTGTTTAACACTGAAACAGCACACGTTAAGGGAAAGACTGATCCAAAAGACAATCATAGAGGTAATTCCTATCAAATTAACATAACGTGCTATGTACATGTAAATGTTTCACTGTTGTTCACTGGTGAGATACAGGCTAGATAAATTAGATAGACAAATACAAAGATTAGAATAAGATCTGACTGAGGCCAAGGTCTTGGCTGCAGCCTGCTGACAACAGTAGGGTGCCACTGTACCTGAAACAAGGTGAAGCCCAGGTAGTACTCAAACAGGATACAGCCAATGCTCCACACGTCACAGGGATGGCTCCAGCCCAGCTCTGAAGGACGAAAACATGCAAAGAATTAAAACAACTAGAAAAATGTGTGGATGCTACTCCAAGCTTGCTGACATCACACAAACCTTTATCTACATGGGGCTATCCAGTTGATGGCATAAATACCATGTGCTTCTGAGAAAAACCAAAACTGATCTCGACACCCACTCCTCCCCATCAGTGACTTATTGTGATTATATATGTGAACTGACCTGAATCAGAATTTCCTGCAGAACAAGGCACCTTAAAGTGCTGACCTGTGTTTGTTTGTTTGGCAAAGTAGGAACAACAACTGAGTTGTGTCAACTGAAAAAGACACAGGTGTTTATCTCCAAACTGAGTTCCCTGTTGAATGTCTGGACCTTATTTGGCTGGAACTCTGATAGGTGGAAATAATTGAATAATCCCTTCTGATGAGATGTGTTTTAATTAATTTACGGCCAAAAGCCAATAGGGATCCTCACCTAGTATGACCTCAGGAGCACGGTAATGCCGCGTGGACACAATCGTGCTGTGGTGCTCATGATCAAAAGTGGCACTGCCAAAGTCTACCACTCGTACAGCCGTGCTCTTAACCGTCCGCTCTTCTCGCTTCTGCAAGAAAGAAAAGTACTTTTTAGAGTATTGTGCATGTTTCTTTTTGTTTTTGTCAAATTGCAGGGCTGGATGTGTATTCTACTACATCTTACCTTCTCTACATTGAAGGACATTGTGAAGTCTGAGTTTACAAAGAGGATATTCTCAGGCTTCAGGTCTGTGTGTGTCAGCTTATTGTCATGGAGAACTACAGAGAAACAACAGGAGTAAGTTGGTTATTGAGTCTTCAATTATTACATGATGAATTGTAATAACTGAATTGAACACTGCTTCTAATCTTGCAGCGTGCTGATCTTAATTCCTTTCAGATTAGATGAGGCATGCTACAACCTATTATGAGGATGATGATAATATACAGTGTAATAAATACATTTAGAACAGAAAAACATCTGGAATAGAAAACATTTGAGACAGAAGTCTACATTATAGCAGTATGTTATTAGTTAATAGACATACTCCTCCGCTTGGCCTTCGGTGCTATAATGCCCCTATGTGGCTACAGGCTGTCTACCACAAACAGCCACTCAAACAAATAGTTGACAACTGATGAATAAACATTATGTGAGGGTGCGTTTGTTGGAAAACTACACTCATTTTAGGGACACTAAGACAAAAAACTCAAATCACACAAAAGGTAAAAACTTACACTTCACAGCGAGACAGATTTGGTAGGCCATGTGTCTGACCTGACCAATTGAGTAGGGCAGGTAGTTGTTTTCCTTTAGAAAGTCAAAGGTGCTGAGAGCAAGCAGCTCAAAGGAGATACACATGTGACCATGGTAGTCAAACCAGTCATACATCTGTACACAAAGGCTGCAAGATAAACAGGATACAGGAGATCTGTCAGTGATGTAGTCGGTAATATATGCAAATACCACTTTGATAAGACAAAAGCCAAATCAGACAGACTAATCTAGTATATGAAAGCTTCCAGGGAGGCTTTTACCAAATATACTTTCATTAGTTAAACTAGTAAACTTAATTTGACACATAATTCAATTGCAGCACCACTATACTCACAATTTGTTATCAGGGTCCTTTTCATTAATCTTCTCCAATACATTGATCTCCAAGCGAGCTGCTTCCTTGTATTTCTCTACATTCTTGATAATTTTCAGAGCAACATGGGCTCCTCCCCTGTGGAAACATAAAATAGTATGAAGCCAAAAACAGAGGTAATAAAGCAAAAGCATGCATAAGATTTGTATGTAAAGTTTGCAGTTCCCACAAAGGAACTGGACTGCAGACACGAAAGTGACGTTTATATTTAGTTTACAGTAAAAACACAACACTTAATAATATGACTATGATAGCAAAGTCTGTGACCTCAATGTTAGTTATATGGTGGGAAAAATTAGAAGTCACTCCTTGCAATAAGCCACAACCTTTAAGTGTCACAAACTTAAGGCCCTGACTGTGAAAATGAACTTGCAGTTTTCACAGTCATACAAGGCTAAGTAAGATACAGCAGAGCTAATACGCCTGCAGTAAACTGCACTATGTGATCAACAAGGGCAGCAGGAAAAAAAACAGCACCTTTGAAGCTGTGTACAATCTGATTGAGTAGTGTTTAAATTTAAAACAGCAACAAGAGTAGGTAACAATAGTAACGGTAGATGTTAATACCCTTCTCTTAATCTCATTTGGCTTGGGGCTAACCCCGGAGAGGCGTGACACAAACACTGCTTTCTACAAATCAAGCACTGTGAGC